AAGTGGCGGTTGCAAATGCTGCTGCTGCTGCTGGGGGCTGGCTGGGGACCATAACCACCACAATAAGCTATTTCAAGAAAACACAGTTCGCCTTTTGAGGACCTTGACCCCAAATATCTTTCAGAGACATCGAATTTTCCATCGATCAAAGATACTCTGTACACCGTCGGGTGACTTCACCTGATACTCGCGCACCGTCGCTCTGGGATCCTTTTCCGTCGCCGCTCAGTTCTCCACGTTCCACGTGAACGCTCGGAGTCTCGGCTCAAGGCCGGTTCCATCGCGCTGCGACTTGATCAATACATAGTTTGGCGTGGTGCGACTTGATAAGGCCTTGTCACGACACAAGAAACACAGGGACCCTGGGACCCTTTATGTCTATATAGGCTGAAGAAATCAATGACCTTTGTTTGGTGGTTGAGTTGGGGTTACCATTCCAAACTATTGGAAAACTAAACTTCATCACTTCATAGAAACAGGTTGATGCAATGCTTCCCTCCTCACTTCATGGCTTTGAGTTTCTTTGATTGGCACATGCTCAATTTTTACCCAAGTGCAAAACAACTATATAATTTAAACCTACACCCGGGAAGATTGACATGGAAACCTGAAAATGAACCTTTGGAAGACTATTCTCCTCTACTACCTAGTGGTTTATGTGGTTTTCAGGTTCCATGTTAATTTTCCTGGTTGTAATGATTTTGACCCTAGCATAAACCAGTTGACTTTCGACTTCCTGAATCCCTGCCCCATCACCTGGAACACCTCGAACTTGGTCCAAAACCCTGGTCAAATGACTACAACAGCTGCTTTGGGCTTCATGCCATCAGCATTTCATCAACATCAACTTACCAGTGACCGCGGAAGATCAGTCAGTGGATAACCTTCAACATGTTGTGACATGCCTTTTTGTGGGGATTGTTCGTTTTCCCAAACACGAACAGACGGAAGGTTTGATGGTATAACCTTCAATTCGTCCCATTTCCAGCTCGAGAGTCTTGCATTGGTATTCATGACGCATCGAACGCCCGATCCGCGGCCAAATCTCTGGCCGAAAGGATCCAAGATGACCAAGATGGTCAAACGTTCTTCTCAGAGCTTCTTGTTTAAAGAAGGCCCCGGGTTTATGATGATCATCCAATTCGTGTTGTTTGTTGGTTTGGCTACATTCTTTCAGATGGTTCTACCTAGCTGGACATTTGAACCTGTATCCAAAGTGAAACGGCAAGCTGTCGTGCTTGCCGGGCCCAATGGAAGTAGTGACTGCGCGGGCATTGGAGGATTTTCTAAAGACGTTCAAGATCTCTTCAACCGTGGGAAGACCGAGCTATGAAGGCCATGAACCTGTTCACAAATGAGCCATGAATATCTCCGACTTTGTGACACTCGACCGTGGGACACTTGAACACTCGAAAGAATTATATAGCTCTTCTACTGTAGTACGACTCTATTCGTGAATTCTGCTATGTCCATGCTGTGTGGAGCTCGTGCTGTGCCAAACTTGCTCAGATGCCGTGCCAAAAAGGGCCACCACCAAGTAGGACTCCGTCCGTCCGTCGCAGATCGGCTCCGCTGCGCCTGGTGCGATGGATCCACCGTCTCCTCACGACCGTCCCCAACACCTGGTCGATGGGCGGGGTGCAGCAGACCTGTGGACATAGCTCTGAGGCAAACCCCGAGCCAATGCCGGTACCACGGCGCAATTCAACATTCAAGAGACCACCAGGGAAAACTTCAATCCGAATGGCACAGTGATGCACACATGTATGCAAACCTTCCACCTCCCGAAGCCTCGCACTTGTGCAGCAATCGTCATACGTCATATACTTGCAAAGTCACGTTTGTACGCCGTGTCCACCATAGACCTCCTGACACAGGCTGACACACTCATCTCTCCGTCCAAGACCACCGTAGTCCTCCAAACACTTTCCTCAACGGCCAACGGTAGGGTAGGGTATGGTATGGCAGCGGTGACACCGTAGACCACCAGCAACTGCTGCTCACAGAACGTTGGCACCTTCACTCCGGCGAACGCCATGTCGACACGGCACTGTCGTGGACCTGCACAGCTTCGGCCGCCCAAAGCGTAGACGGAACACCGTGAGAAGAAGCTGCGCGACAGAGCAACGATGCCACCAGACCAACTTTCAACATTAAATGACACAAGCCACTTCCCACGATTTATTGCACTGTATATAATTCACCCAGAATCGAGTGAATGAATCTATATGTTCCTTGCTCCTGGGCGACTTCGAAAAGGGAAGCTCTTGCGCCGGGTCTCTCTGGCACGCCTTTCAGGTTCTGAGAGTCCAGGGTTTTTTCCGTGTCGACGGTGTGACGAGCCAGCGCCGGTGTGTGGCTCGCGTGGTGGACACGAAGTGAGCCATGATGTTTGGGGTTGGAAGAATGTCGAGAAGCGAGTTCGACGAGCTGGACTCTCCACGGTCTGGTACTGTAACCTCGCAAAAGAGGGCGCGGCTGGAGGCCTCGATTCAAGTGTTTTGCCTGACCGTTTTGCATGACAGTTCTTGAAGACTGGGTGTCGAAGCAACGAACGAAAGGTGGGCCACTTGGTGACATCATGTGACTTTTTCCATCTTTTTTCCATGTTGTTTTCACATGTTCTCTGCTCCGGTGTGGGGTCATGAAATCTCCACATACTAAGACACCCGTTTGGTTTTCGCTGCCCGCGTGGTAGTCACTGAATCTTCTCATTTCTGTGCAGCTTGCAGCTTGCTCCGTTTCGCACGTCGCGCGAAGGGAGCAGCTGATCCGAGACCACCCCAATCAGCTACATGGACCTGGACAAAGGGCGAACTTTCTGCGATGAACGGTGTAATCTCTGCCAATCCTCACGCCACCTCACCAACGGCTGGAAGAGTTCCTTTTTCTCCCAAAATGGTGTTCAAACTTGACACACAAAGCTCATGTGTTGAGCATTTTTGAATTCCATGCCAGTGGGAGTGTATGGTGTTTATTTTGGAATCCATTCGGGCCTGTATTCTTGCGATATCATGCTTCTTTTCCAGCATCTATGTTCTCTTCTGCATCGCGCGGTGTCTCCTGTAGTACTCCCAAGCAACCGCTTGGGTCGTTTCCCAATCCAGTTTTTCATCAAGGGGCGATTTGCAGCAATTCCCTTTGGCGGAACACCTATAGGTCTGGATGCTGTCCAGACTCTTGACAGATGTAGATCAATTCCAAAGAATTGTGAGTCCCATGGGGTGAGTTCCGAAGAACCAGGGAGTAGCGACATGTGGACCATCCCGTTGGTTCGGTTCGATGCCTAGACATGCCTAGACACAACCTGACCATCAGATGCCATGTTCCCATGTTCTGTGACACCCCAACCCCCCCCCCCCACACCGGACTCACTGTGAATCTGATCTCGCCCAGGCACTAATGGACGGTGAGGGGTGCCCAGTTTTGGGGGTGATGGTTGGCGCTTCAGATGCGGTTTGTGAGCGATTGCGGGCGTGTGAAAGTGTGACATTCATGTTCAATTATCTTGTAATCACCCCAGACTTGCTTTTCAACAAGAGACCGATCTTCACCTGCTTTTCAGCGGCAGGAACTTTCTCGGTTTGCGGCTTTGCTTGCTTCGTTTCCCTTCGTTTCAACCACAACCACCGACCGATCTGGGTCACTGGTCCAAGCGTTTGGCCCCGCATCGATCTGAGGCCTTCTGGCGTGGCACCTCAGGGACCCGCGGGACCGGTGGAGGTCCAAGAAGGTCGGTCCAAGAGGTAATGGTCCAAGTATGCATATTCTCTATAACATCATGGAACTACAGAACTGGAAATGGATGGCACCATATGGCACCCCCTGTTTGGTCTTCGGAAGACCATTCCACGTCAGCATGTTAGTTCCAAATGTGTTTCCTCACCTTTTTGGCTTGCTTTTAACTATACCAGCACCTTCAAAGGGGGCTCCAATAGACTACCGTTACACACACTACTCAGGGGCTCTCCATTGAGCACCCCGACATGAAGGTCCAGGTATAGTAACATGTTGAGATCGTTTGAAGCTCCAGTTTGACCTCGACCGTCCACTCCATGTGCTCCGGACGATGGCGTTCCACGATGGTGGGGCATGGTTCCAAGGCAACTCCGCCAAGGCCCTAAGGCAATGCCTTACAAGTGGAGATACACCAGAACTGGGCCCAGGTCAGGTGAATGATTTATAGAGAGGCATTTGCCAAAAAGAAGAACCCGGTGGCAGAATACATTCTTTCAGTGAGTTCCATCCACGCAAGGTTCCATCCTCAACTCTTCCAGGATCCCCTATATAATGATTTCTGGAGAACTAACTCTGATGGCGACGAACTGAGTTTGCGTCATGTGGTTCGCTCCACACCCGATGGAAGCTCCAAGTCGGTCACGCTGTCCCGGCCTTGACGATCCTTCAACTGAGTTAGGACCACAGAATGGTTAGGACCAGAAATGGGTTTGCCATGTCGATCTGATGACCAACGGCTCACGGCTGATGACAAACGCACACCCGCTTCTTTGGGTACTCTGAAGAAGCTGGCCAGCTTCTTTTTCAGGGCGGATCCAGAAAGCTTACCCCGCTGAAGAAAATCACTGGTTTGTAGGGGGAACATCGTATTTCAGGGTGCCATTCTCAGGGTTCATGTTGGTTTTCGTCCTTGTTCGCAAGTGAAGACTAAGTGCTGGTTTCCAACATGGTCAAACTGATTTTGCATGGAGAAAACCTCATCTTCCGCTTTGCGGATACAGGCATAGTTCCAACTTGTGGTCACCAAGACCCTCAGAGACCTCAGAGCACTCAGAGCAAAACTTGAAACCTTTTGAAACCTTGGGTTCCTTATTTCAGTTGTCCGAAACCTTCCTGTGCTTCGATGAACTCTTGCTCCTAAGAAGCTAGTAGCTTGGAGGCTATCGCCATCTAGGGTGGAGGCCATCGCTACTAGCTCCTGGCATTGCCATCAGTAGCAAGAGCGCTCCGAATCTCCTCCGACCTCCTCCGCGTCCGTCCAGGCCCCACTGGCCCGACAGGCCCTCGCGGCGCTGCCCGGAAGCGCAGGGGGGAGAAGCCCAGCGGGGTGTCGGTGTGTTCCGTTTGGCAAAGGGGATAGAATTGATAGAATCATATCGGTTTCTGGCATGAACAGGCAGGTAGACGATGGGACATGGAGGATGGGTTCTTGATGCTTCTTGGATGGAAAGGTTCAGTATGGTTCAGTAGAGTCAGTTCCAGTAGATGAGCATCGATCCAAGTTCATGGCTTGTTGGAGGAATGCTTTGCCTATGAGTGGAGCGGCGGTAGCCTGTCACGTGGAGACCATTCGGACTCCAGAGCCTCTGTCCCCAAATGAGTAATCAACCCTGTCCCCCGGTTCACCAACACCACCGGAGCAGTGAACCTGGACCTTCTACTCTTGGTTCGGTGCGCTGGAGCAGTGCTCGATCCCATCCAGTCGTGTAGGGAGTAGTCGTGTGTGGAGACCCCGACAGGAAGGTGCTGGAACATTCGATCAGCTCAGCTCGGTGGATCTTCCGCTCATCTCGGTGGAAGTGACTCCGCTCAGCTCACTTCAGTGAGCTTCCGCTCAGCGCAAGTCGCAAGCCCTGCTGGCCAGGTTTGGGGGCAGCGACCAATGCCCTAGCATGCTTGTACAAGAGGCACCTGAACCATCCTGAACCCACTTCCAGAGGCCCTTGAATTGCCCAAGGTGAACCAAAGTCCTGAAACAGGGAACCCCGCTTCTTCTCGTGGATGAACGTGGAACTGCTGGAACTATTTGCGCTTGTGTGGAACTGGTGGAACTATCTGCACTGGGTTCAAGATTGAAGATTCCATTCAACCCTACACCGACCCTTCGTACCTCCGAAGCGGTTCGGTATGACTGGAGCCGACTGGCTGGCACTGGCTGGCCCGAACCTTCGTCCCACCGAACCGAAACATACCGAAAAACAAACCGGTACGGTACGACTGGAGGCCAAGGCCGGGTTTTTCAATTTGTTTTAAACCCTAAACTCAAAGATTCGACGAGACCGAGGGGTGGTCTGTCGCAGCGTGTGTGTGTGTGGTCTGTCGCAGCGTCGAGTGGTTGTCCAGTGGAGTACGTACCGGTTGAGCAGCGTAGAAAAAACCTCTGTGAGGGCGGAGTACAAACAGGAAGGTTTTCCCACTTCGATGATTCGGAGTGTCAATCCCACCCTTGGAAAACACGGCGTGTTCACCGATTGCTTCTCCGTCTCCATGTAGATGAGGCCCCAGGTGCTCGGTGGCGGGTCATGACCCACATACCAGGTGAGGTCAACATGGCTTTGATCCACTTGCATTGCATGTAGGTGACCCTGTCGTACGTGTTGGGGGGGTGGCTTGCACCGGCCCTGCCCGACCAAGTACTTTTTTGCAGAGATGAACTTGGACCCCCCAAAGCACCTGGGTTGTAGAGGAAAATGGTCCAAACCACGGATCAATTCTGAGGGTTCATGTCGTCATCTGCACCGGGGGTATGGGGGGGCAAGCCTGCCCAAGCAAGTATTCTGGTGGACCACTGTGTTCTGGACCAAATCACTGGCAGGCATGAAAGTTGCTTACAGGATTTCTGGCATTTCTAGTCAACCCAAAGTCTGAGGAAGTGAATCCCCCCAAATTCCAGGCTACTGGCCAGCACCAGGAACATGCTTTTGGACACGACGATGTCTTTTCCTTCCATTCGCACCCATTTTTTCCCTAGGGTGCTGGGGATCTCATGGCTTAATTCAAACCCTCCAGCCTGAACCCCCCCTGGTGTTTTTCCAAAACGAACAGAATAGACATCCAGTCGGGAGTCAGACGCAAGTCTCGTTCCTGAGGTCGGACCCCCTCGAGGCGCAGATGAAGACGACAGCGCCCCGACGGTCGCGCCCGTCGTGCAGCGAGGTCTCAGACTCCGGTCATGCATGGCGTTCGGACGAATCAGGAAAGGTAGCTCCCTGAGTTCTCCTTTTGCTTGAAAAACAGATGTACTTTGTAATTGACCATGATTATTTGTACTACAATCATGGAGAAGGTTGAGATAGAATGGAATGATGGAGGGGATAGGGCCGGATAGGGGGTGGAATCATCAAGCATGGAATGGAAACCAGTGGTTGTGTGCAAGCTGCGCATGCTGGCGCCATGTGGGTCTCCCAGTCTCACCAAGATCAGTGAAGACATAAATCCTGTCAGTGGATAAGCTGTGGCCTCTTTTTGAAGAATGATTGGTTTCCACAAGATGAGCAGCTGTGGATGTGTTGCAAACAACGGAGGAACGAAAGGTATTCTCCAAGAGGTCTTGTTGGGAAGGTTTTGGGAGGCTTCAAGGTCGTCCTCATTCGCAAGTCGGAGCAAGTCCTTGTTGGGTCAAAGTGGTCGTCCTCAATGGACTTCCATCTTGAAGATCTGGATCTCGAATCGTATGTGATCTTGAATCACATGGATTGTGGATCTTGAAGATCTGATCGGAAGGTCTCAGACGTTCGGAAGGTCTCAGCTCCCGTCAACCGCCCGTACCAGGCCCCTCGGGCCCCGCTGGCCCATCGGTCACGGCACCCAGATCGGGGCCAAGCATGGGTTTCTTTTTTTGTACACGCTTCTCATCACCGTATCTTTTTTGTTTTTGTTGTTTTTCTTGTTTCATACCAATTGTATCCAATCGTGTTTTCTTTCTTCTGGAGCCAAGGTCTTCTGTCTTTTTTTCCTTAGTGTTCTTTTCTTAATATTCTGCATGCAAAAATGAAGAGGGGAGGAGCAGTGGAAGCAGGTGTGAACCACACGTTCCTGCCTGCTTGGGTCGAGCCAAGCCGGATCCAAGCAGGTTCTGCGGCAGTTCGGGCAGTTGGTTCCACGGTCAGCATGTTACTGGTTGGTTCCACGGGCTTCTACTGATTTGACAGATCATCTACATGATGTCTAGGCTTCCATACATACGATCCTGCAACTTGGGGTTCGATTTGAACCCGCGGTTTGGGGCCCTTCGGTGGATGATTTCTGACTTTAGGTGTCCTTGAGATGCGACCCTTTGCACTGGGGCTGAGCTGTAGATGTGAACCAACTTGCAATGTAGTGATTATTGGGCGGAAGAAATCGGATGTGTGTCTCAGTGTGTATATTTTGACCACCCAGCACAATGACGCACACATGTGCGATGAACAGTTGTGACTCGTGCATCCCCAAATATGTCATTTCACCTCCTTTTTGATAGGGAAAGGCCGTGTTTTCGACAGCCAATTCTATGTATGAATTAATATATATATATACCTGGTACCCCTGAAGAGTGATAATTATCACTCCGTTTTGTAATTATCAATCTTTTGGACAGTGGTGTGACAAAAAGCACTCCGGAGTGAGAATAGTTGTTCCAGAAGGGTTTTTGTTGCTCCGCAACGTATCTTGAACGCAAAGCGAACGTTAATTGAACGCAAAGTGAACGCACTGCGAACGCAATCTGAACGCAATTGCGGTTGGACTGATTTTTTCCACTCTGGAGTGCTTTTTGTCACACCACTATCTAAAAGATTGATAATTACAAAACGGAGTGATAATTATCACTCTTGTTTCTTTTTAATAGATATGATCTGTTTGCATTTGAGTAACCTTGTCATAGCAGGGAAGATGTTCCACCCCAAGACTCACAGCTTCCGCGGAACTTGATACAACTTAGTTGCATTCAAAATACCATCATCTATGACTACCCAGGACTGTAGCTTGGAGGCCATCGCTCGTAGGGGGCTTGGAGGCCATCGCTTCCGGGTCGTGGCCCCTTGACCAGTCATCCCTCGTCCGCGCCTGTAGGTGGGCCCTGCCCGTGGTCCGGTCGGACCTGGGCCGAGAGGTCAGGGCACAGGGAGAGCCCATGGGTCCCATGGGTTGATGTGGGTCCATTTTGATTGGAAGAAAGGGAAAGAATCAGAAACAACATGAAAGGACATGTTGAACCGGTCTTGGGCCATGAAACTCCTCCACGAACCTACATATGATCACATATACCATCATATACCTATAAAGTACTCATTGCATTGGACCTCCGTTTTGCTAGGAAAAGGTCATATTTTGGATCGTCAGTTGATGCTCCAAAACAGGGGTCACTCAGGTTCTAGGTATAGGGTCGGGGTTGGGGGAAGTTAAGGGGTTGCTTGGGAGCGGTGATGTGTTCGCTCTTTGGTCTCCTTCCAGCTGCACCAGGTCGGTTCTGCTCACCAGCTGGCCGCCGAGTATGTAAGATTCGTTGGGGATATCTGGGACGATCGCGCTCAGCCCGGCCCGGGCATGTTCGATTTCCGACTCAGGAGTTAGATTTCGAAGGCTAAGTCTCGGGTGGTTCAGCCTCGTCTTCACGTACCTTCTGGGAAGGTCTTTGGAGCAGGGTCTGGGTTCTTGGTTCTTTTGCGAAACTCTTCTATGTCCAGATGTGCGACAGGGGTGTTCTTTCTGGTTTCGCTGCGAGCAACCTCGTGAGGGATGAATAGGACTTGACGTCCAAGACCCTATACTTTGGGCAGCCCAGTAGTATGCTTATGCACTGGGAGCATGGATATGAACCTATTGGTTGCCACCCCAAACCCCACCCCTGGACACCACTTAAGGCAAAGTGCACAAGCCTACCAAGCTAAACTCAACCGATACTAATACTTTTCCAAACTTTTTCCCTTTAGAGAAATATAAAGATGTAACCATGGTTCCTGACCGCAACCGATATGGTACTGTAATTGCTTCACGTCACGTTCGCTCTGCAGAAGCACATTGCTGGGCTGGGCAAGCCACGCCAATCACTCCGATTGGATGCACAGCATTTCCAGCGGTCCAACCGGGAGGTCCCAGCGTCGGTCCTGCCGTCGGGCCTAGTGTGGGCCCTGCCGTGGGCCCTGCCGTGGGCCCTGCCGTGGGCCCTGCCGTGGGTCCAGCTGGCCCGCCCGAGAAGCGAAAGGCGGGATGAGCGGAAGGGTGGAGTGTACGAGTGGACGAGTGGATGTGTTCTTTGCAGAAAAGGTATGTCTTGAACAAATTAACACATGCCGGGCCTGGGAAATCCGCTTGGATTTGGAACATGTTTACGATTGTTTACCCTTTTTGAAGCATCCAAACATATCCAAACCCTTTCACTTGAAGGTAATACTGAAGACATTTGGCAATACACATCGTGCTTTTAGCTGTGGCTTGCATGAGTCTACTATAGTGTATGTTGTTGGTGGCAAAAACCCAAAGCACATTGACAGTCTGAAGGCTATTCGAGAGCCTCATCACTTCAGACCAAAGACCTAATCACTTTGTGGGTGTGGAAGAACATGCTGGTCGCGGATGCCAGGCGAGCTGGCTCAAAAAATAGAGAAGAAGTCTGGGAGACATCCACAGGATCATCACAGGGTCATGTTTGGTAATTCTATGGGTTGGTGACTTGGTACCTCCCAGGGAGACCTCCCAATGCAGAGGACTTGGGACTTGCATGTGAGACATCCCAATGACGATCCTTGGGACCCATCCTGCTTCTCCTTGCGACCGGGATCTCGATGTTTCGTCGAATTTCTTCAGACGGATTGGAATGGAGTTCTTAGGGAAGCGAAGCAATGCGACCTGTCCTCAATGTGATTCGTATGTATATATATATATATGTTATGTATGTATTGTTGTGTGATGTTCATCGATTTTGGCATCTCTTGTTCCCACCTCAAGAACTCCAACAAATTCCTTGAGTTGTGTAATACCGCTGGTTCATGTGAGTTGTCAGTGAATCTTCAGGACATTTGAACAAACATGCACACTCAAGGCACTCCAGATTGGCTTCCGTCGAACAACCGCTTCATGGTCCAACCGCCGCGCCAACCCCGCGTGTGTTTGCGGCCCGCAGGCGGAGAAGGTGGGTCCCGCCAAGACCGGAGAGCCCAGGTCCGACCGATCCGTGGTCCACCGTTGATTGGAGGTCTGGGCCCAGGTGGACTCCAGATTGGCGATAAGAATCTGAAGTATCTATAGCCCCTAGTAGCATTCTTGTTACTACTAGTAAGGCACTTGTTACTAGAAGCGATGCACTTGTTCCTAATAGCTTATCATCATGCTGAAGTTGGAAGGACACAGGGTGAACGGTGATTTGATGGAGAATTGATGGAGATTTGGCACGTGATCCGTGAAAAGCGATCATCCAGGGGGATTGCAGGGGTGTGAATCCAGAAAAATGTATCCGCTGCGATGGGGCAGGTCTCGTCTCGTGCAAGCTTGGTTTCGCTTGCTGATGATGCTGACATTGGAAGCAGTATCAACTAGCACTGTTTACATATGTTTACATTTGGGGATGTGCTCAACGCACATGCCAGCACCTTCCAAGCAATATCCAAGGATTTACTGTACCTACACCACCTGCATCTACCATCATCTACCTGTCAATCTCCATTCAACATCCCTTTGGCAGGCATTTCCCATCAAAATCAACACTACAACGGACTATACCCTAGACTGCCTGTGGAATGTCCATTGAACATCCGAATCAAAGGCGCCGTGGACAGGCATTTCCTGTCCTTCAGATGGTTTCATCGCCCCGCTCAGGCCCGGTGCGGCCGGCCCTTCAAAGCCCAAGAGACCGAAGGCCTAGGCGCCAAGGCCAGCCATTCGGAACCGACGTACCTTCGGGTCCGATCACGGCACTTTCAGGACTGAAGTTACCCAGGAGTAGGAGCGAATGGAAGAACGACAGCCAGATGCCAGACAGCCCACGAAAGCCAGACAGCCAGGGGCTCCGAATCTGCACCAGGGCCGTGTGGGTCCTTGGTGCGTTGTATCCTTGGAGTGTTCGTTCCCATTCGGGTCTACGGTTGAATGTCTTTTGGAACCGCTGGTTGCCTACAGTTTCACTGGATCCACTCGGAAAGACACGCGCCACGATGAGAAAAGAAAAAGCTCTTGATCCTTCCATCGAGAGGGGAAGCATGGGGGTCACCCCCAGTCAACGGGGGTTTAGTATGGTTTTGTTGATTTTTACCCTTCACTACCTGGTCTCGGAGGGTCTTTCAATACACACCCAAGAGATGTTGTTGGTGCTTCATGCTGACTCGGGTCACACCGGCCAGCGGACCACGAGGATTTGTCATGTGGGCCCAGATGTGAAGGTCTCATCGATCTGGTCGAGGAGAATGGTGACTCACAGGTCAAAACATCCCTCTTTGCTAGGCTTTGACCACACTATATATTGGATGCAGTCATTGACTGCACGTAGGCATACACGTACTAACAGGATGGAAAGGCGCTCCTTGGTCCTTCCCTTGATTTCCATGCGTCTCCCCTCTCCCGATCCGTCTCCCCGGTTGGTTTTCAGCAGCGCCAGGCCCGGGGAGCTTCGCTTTTGCCGACGCGAAAAGCGGAGAGGGGAGAAAAAAGAGGGGAGTGGCCGCTTGGTTGAGCATGCAGTGATGGACGGATACACACTTAATCACACTTGCCTCAAGATGTCTCAAGTGGAATTTCATGCTCACATCTTGTGGGGTAAGTGACAACTTTTAGACATTTAATCATGGTGAGTCTTGCAAGTTTGTATATAGATGAGTTATGATGAGTTGCAACGCGGAACACATCGCATGATCGCCACGGCTTCACTCTCCACCCTCCTGGAGCTCCAACGTTCGGCGCACCTGCTCTCTGCTGACCCATCATGACCACCTGCAGGACTTCGGCCGCTGGCCTCGTCCCAGTCCGCCTCGTTTGCGTTTCATGCTGGCGTGATTTTTTTGATTTGTGGTGGACCAGATAGTATACAGTACACAGCTATAAACCTTGCAAATGATTTTTGTTTGACCTTCCAGGAGGTGGGACTTTGTTCTTCTATTGTCAAGTCCCTTGGGATTTGAACCTCTTGCTCCTCTCAAGCTGCAAAGCTCCAGTCTGCTCACGAGTCGAGATGCGCCTCCTCACAACGCGCATTTTTGCAGCATCTTGCAGTGCTGGAACCCACATCTCCCAGCCTCCCGAAACCCACCCAAGCCGTTGAGAGGATGCCACGAGGCCACCAATGAGTCACTCTGGTGCCATGGTCCTCTCCGGTCCGGTCGCTCTGATGCCACGGTCCTCCGCTGGCAAGCGCCACTTCTCGGACCAAAAGACGGGAGCGCCGTAGAGCGACGTCGGATAAAGGAGCGTCGGGTTCTCGTCTTGCAATTGCTTTCTTTTGGCTTTTGCCAGGCAGGGTTGTGTTTATTCATTTTAAATCCATTATTGTTGTGTGTGTGTGTGTCTTTTTTAATGGACTTTTGCCTTAGTCTCTTCCCTGACCTTTTTTTTAACCGATGTCCTTCGACCGTCTCTGACCGAGCCGCAAACACGTTCACGCGCCACGTACGCGATTCGTGTGACGGACAGCGGTGGAGAGAGGGCCTATTCGAGATGGAGGGTTCGGTATCAACAAAAACCAGGACACACTCCAAATTGGTTGGTCAACCAGGTTTTCAGCATTGGCTGGTGGATGTCAGTCCATATTCCGTTTGCGTGCACATTTCTCAAGCGAGAGACACCGAGCTTGAAGCGATGCACAGCTCAGCTGTGGAACAGTCAACCTAAGCTCACGCCAAGCAGAGCTCGTGAAGCTTGAAATTCATCGCCACCTGGACGCTTGCGAAAAAGCAAAATGAGTCTCCCTCTCAACCATAGATTTCTTGTACAGATCCGTCTTTAATTTGAAGTTGTTTGTTGCTGAGGTACTTTGGACACTTGTCCATGTCAAGCACCATCAAGCACCAAAGAATGGCTTGTGTCCACTTGCTCATGGTGCCTTTGCACCGCTTTCTTGGCGTGGCTGGTGTTTGCCTGTTGCTTTAGTCATGTCGCGGACCAAAGGGGATTGTCGCGCATGCTCAGACATGCTCAGTGACAGCTGTGTTGGCGAACCCTTGCTGTTGGTGTGTTCCTTTCCTTTTTTTTCGACCTCATGTGACGGTCAAGCAGACGTATACGTCCAGGTATGCCTCGTCACTTCCCTGGGACTGGTGTCCGGAACTCGACAGCTTTCCCCGCCCGCCCCGGAGGACCCGCCTCCCCTGGCTGTGCATCGAACATGTCCGACAGCGGCGCCAACGAAGGACACTCGACGCGTTCGTGCCACTCGACGTCCGTGCGCACGCCGTTCCTGCGAAAAGCCGTGCGCCGCTACGGCCGCCGTGGGCCTGAGGCGATCCGAAGGCCTCGGAGACTCGGAGATACCTGTGATCCAACTATGTCTGCCATGTCTGCCGCACAATTTTGCGCCGGAAGATATTTGTGTATCAATTGCATTCCCAAACGACACCCCAATCCAGACCCAGGAATACCTGGGAGGTGGACCAGAACACCGGCACCCTCTGGAAGAGCAGTTTATGCCGAACAACGAGACGCATGCGTTTGGACATTGTGCCTGGCATCGGTAATAAGATTAAGCAGATAACAACGTCGATGAAAACGCGCAGAGAACCGGTTCAACGGCGTTAGGGAAAACCAAGGAAGGTGTAAGCATGCAATGTGCATGCGTGCTGCGTCACAGGGTCAGTGGTGTTACACAATACTGACGTGCGAAAATGGACAACGTTCACTTGAGTCGAAAGAAGAAACGGCCGCAACGATACTCACGTGTATAGTGCGTGACTTGCAAACCCTACCGTCGCCGGTGTGTCCTTTTTCGTCCCGAACATTTCAAAGATTCGTTTAATCACGATGCATCTATCAAGACTGGTCCTTTCTGCAGGGGCCTTCACTGTCCTTCGTGTCAGTCTGTGCCAGTCGGCAGGAAAAGAACAACGACACACTGCAGACACTGCAGACGACGAGACGGCCTTCGCAACGCCCGTGTTGACAATAACGACTTCCCTGTGCGACGGCCTTCTGGCCTGGCCGTCGTGCCAGGTGAGGGTTGTTAGATTTTATCATATTTTATCAGAGTTCTTCTCCTCTTCTCCTCCTCCTCCTCCTCGTCTTCTGCTTCTTCTCCTCTTCTCCTCTCCTTGTCGTTTTGACTATATACCGCACCTCAACTGCCAGCTCCAGATCGCAATGGGCTATACCTCAACTGCACGTGCATGATCGCAGTGGGCACTACCGGACCTCAAACTGCAAGTGCATGATCGCAGTGGGCACTCCCGGACCTCAATCGCATGCGCCAGATCGCAGTGGGCACGACTGGACCTCACCAGCAAGCGCCAGATCGGAGTGGGCACTGGACCCCAACAGCAAGCACCAGATCGCAATGGGCACTACCGGACTTCGACAGCAAGCGCCGGATCGCACTGGGCACTACCGGACCTCAACAGCAAGCGCCAGATCGCCGTCTACCTGGCATAAGAAGCAGGCATTTTATCTGGCACTTTCTCCGAAGTCTATCGCCCACTGCGATCGGGAGTTGGCGGTTGAGGCCTGGCAGGGCCCATTGTGATCTGGAGCTGGCGGTTGGGGGCCGGCAGCGCCCAGTGCGATAGGGAGCTGGTGGTTGAGGGCCGGCAGCGTTCACTGCGATCTGGCGCTTGGTCCGGCAGTGCTGCGATTTGGCGCTTGCTGGTGAGGTCTGGTGGTGCCCACTGCGATCTGGCGGCGCTGCTGCCTGATCTTTTTGATGCAGAGCACATGTCGGAGTACATTGCAGAACAGATGCTGTGCACGTGTCATTGCATATGCCAGACAGGAAACATGCCGAGACACACGCCAGCAACCCAAAACGTTCCCTAGCTGTGGTGATAGATGGTGATTCAGAACGCAAGCAAGATTTGATGGCAGAACAAACATCAAAACATCGTGTCAATCCGACCCAATCGCTGTTCAATGTGGGGTCGCTCGAAGTAAAGTAATGTAAAGTAATTACGTTTTTTGACGGGTGAGTTGTTGATGATGGCGCAGGGAAATCCTATGGTTGAGCCACCTGCCCAAGACAATATCCCATAAGAACATGACTTGGGAAGGGCTTCGTCACATTGTCCTGGTATAGGTGCATCTCAGCACTGAATACCGAAGGAAGCCAACGTGCCAATGGAAATGTGGACTTTTGATATTGCTTGATGAATTGCTCCCCATGAAGAGGTGCTTCAATCCAAATGCGGGGCTTACTTACCTTGCAGGTCCTTGCAGTCTTGCGGTAACCAAGGACAACCTGACAGCAGGGGATCAAACAGTTTGAACACTAGAGAACGGGAAGGGGAGAAGATTTCGCCACAAACTCAGGCCACCAAGCGGCTGCGCAGCGAACACGAGTTTCTTCATGACATGGTTCGTGGATGTTCGTGGCAACGACACAACACGTGTGGCATGAAAGAAACCCCGGCATGATTGGAAAAATGAACCGCGTTGGAGGCCAAGGTTATGACGACACACAATTAATACCGAACACCTAAGGGCACAAAACTGTGAGGCACGCCCCTCTGATCGGTCTTCGAAAGTAATCTTTGGTAGTGTTCGTTCTGGATGACATTGATTCCGTATATTCGATTGGATCCGGCGGACGTGAACCCATCAAGCATCCATTTTGTGTCTTCCTATACCTAGAACCCGTGGTCTCGTGCCCTTCTTATCGCTTTGGTGACCGGGCCCCCACCTTTCCCGCCGACCGCGGTCACACCTTCCCACGCCCCCCGCACAGCCCAAGTGAAGAACATGTGTCCTGGACATGAACGCAAATGCCTGAACTGGAAAAACGTGAGTGGTTGCGACGGTATTGTGCTTTAGTTATAAACCATTTTTCAATCTACCCAGCCGTAGGAAATTTATCAGGGTCCCCGACTGAGATCTTCGGTTTTTCTTGAATTAGTTTTTAGAAGTTGGGTGAGTACTCAGAGGGGTACTCCTAGCAAGGCACCAGATACTAATTGACCTGGAAATGTTCCTTGCTTCCTAGGTCAAGGTCACTGGATTTTTTGGGTGTGCAAATAAAACAGGTGGTGAGGAACATGTCTACCACCCATTGATTAGATAGGCGTATACTAGCTGCAGCTTGTGGTTCAGATGTTGTACACAATGTGTGCTAGGCTTGTGATTCAGATCTCAGTATTTTTGTCTTATCTATTTTAATCTTCGACTTGGCGGCGGCTGGATTATTTGGAGGGCCCTCCCTACTTAAAAATAAACTAATCAAGGGGGTCCCTCACCCCGCCCCCTACCTAATGCAAGGAAGAAATTTTTCATTGCGACCCCCTTAACCTGTGCAGGTTGTCCAGATGTTTTTTTGGTGCACGTTTGATGCTGACTTGCTGGGAATGTCATGACGATCGATGACGTTGTGATGGGTGCAGTATGATGCAGTTGTTCCAGTTGCATGTGGTTGCGCCAATGAATGAATGAATGAACCTGGTGCGCAGACCTGGGCAGCTCATTGAAGGCACAGACAGTTGAATCATGCCGACGAAGCCAAAGGCAGTTCACATATGTGCACATAGTCCCCGTGCATGACACCAAGCCCTCGGTGACGGGCGATGCTTGTCATGTAAGACAAATGAAGTGTCGTTGGCCACTCATTGAGCAGGGGCCAACGTTCGCCACGCGCATGGCAAACGTTCATTGCAAATTTATGCACCTAGAAAATCTAGAAAAGGGGACGCTGTGGGGGTGCCGGTTTTTCTATGTTTTACACACAAAATCAGCCAAAAGGGTATGTGATCAAAAGACATCTGCTTTCTCTCACACACACACACACTTGTTAAGTGGCACACTCTGCTGGGAAGGTATCAAGAATTTAAGAACAACCACAAAAAATCAAACAAAAAAGTTCAAAAAAATCCAAGAAATCCAAAAAATACAAAAATCCAAAAACACACACATCTATTCCTGAGCCAAACATAGGTCTGTTTTTTTTGGATTTGTGGATTTTTTGGATTTTTGGATTTCTTGGATTTTTGGGAATGCCTCCATCAATCAATCATCACATCTCCACACAAAAGTAAAAATCACGCATGAATTCTCTGCCACACCATCCAATGTCAAAAACTCAACTGAAAATCAGGCATCATCTTCCTTCCAAATGCCTCTTTGGCTTTGCAAAGAATTCTGTGTGATTGATTTTGTGATCTCAAGGCAATCTGCTCTGCTATATGCGTAGTACTTTGTGTCCTCACATGGCCGTGGACCCCGAGAATATGAGTTTGACTTCGGCAATCGATGCTGCGGAGCATCTCTTGCTCAGGGAACTACCTGCTCACGTCCATGTCGGGCCTCTTCCGCAAGGCTTGGTGACCCCATTAACGCTGCCTGTGAAGGAGCGTTTTGCCTTGTGAAATTTTTATGATTCTAAAAAAATTGGTATAGTTAGCGTAACTCGCGGAGACGAATTCTTTTGGATAGATTGAAAGATACTTAGGTTGAACCCTCAAAAGCATTTTCTCGACATCATTTACGATGTCAGCCATGAGCACATCAACGTCGAGAATCTCAAGGCAGTCATCCGCGATAAGGCATGGCATGAGCTCCCTCCAGTCCTGCAACCCAAAGAGCGCCCCCATTTTCAATACATTTCCCAATACTTTGTGCTCACTCAGACCGACGGTAACCTCTGCCTGGTGAAGCACTGAAGGACGACAAGGTCAAAGGTTCCTACATTGCTCGTCTGCTTCAAGGTCGTGGCTTTGAAATCGGTTGGGCCAAGGTGAACAAGCAACAAACCGTCGAGGCCTGCAATACATGCTGGAACAGCTTGGAGGACATCAATTTCGGCATTTCTCTCTTTCCGCTGACAAGCGAAAAGCATCGAGTGCGGTGGCTGCTTTGCCGGAAGATGAGCAAGACGCAGGATGGGATTGTATCATTGCCAATGGAGAGCGGGACCGCAGCAATCTGAAGCAACTGCGGTGGATCCATCGCCACATCCAGCGGGATGGAAGTCCCATCAACGGGTGGAATGAAAAGCTCGTTCAAAGAGCCTTGGACAGCTTGGCCAATGATGGTGCCTTGGCTGCTCTCATCAGCAGATATGATTTGACCATTGCCGCCCTTCACCCTGACCTCCTCAGCATGCTCGAACGCATTCTTCCACACCTTCGTCCTTTGATGCCTTGCCGTATACTCTGCAAGGAGGTGCACTTTCCGTCTCCAACAAGTATGAGTGTCCATTACAGAAGTGTCAGTGTCCAGGATGTGATGGCAACCTTGTCTACCACAAGGAAGTGGATGCATTTTGCTACGATCTGAATGGTCCGTTTGAGGTCACATATGTTCAAGTGTGTTGTGGATCACGCCATTGCCGTTCCAACTATGGCTACAACTACAGGTGGGAAAATGGAAGCGAAGTCAATGTCTTGTCGATGAAAGACCTCTAAGACAAAATTTTCTTCATTACTTCCAAAACGGCCTTTACCGTCCAGTACCTGCGCTACCACATTGAACTTCTTTTTCGTGGGCACTTGTCAGCAAGGGCCATCGAGCACGCCTATGAAGCGGTCCATGGTGATGCAGATGCGGAGATTGCGACCCGGTTCCGCAAGCTGCTTGGCACGGGGATTTTCTACTACCTTGCCATTGAAGAGCTTGAAAAACTCAAAGTGCACAAGAGTGTCGTCATTGATAACGAAATCAGTAATGAGCACTTGGACCTCTATACAGCATTTTGCTCGAGTTCACTTTTTCCACCTCAGAACCGCAAGCTTGTGACAACGTTGGTGGGAGATGGAACTCTCAAGTTGAAGCCCGATGTGCAGTTAAACCACAGAAAAGAGCAGGTCGCCCCCGCCAGTCCGAACACACAGTGGGTCAGCGATCCAACGGCTGGTTCATGACCTGTGATCCTCGTAGTGGCAGAATCTTGAACATAGCAGTGATGCATGAGCCCGAGCAAAATGAGGACCCCATTCACATGCTGCAGTCCATGCTATGGCTATATCCCAAGGCTGATTGCTTTGTATATGACCGCGCGTGCTCCCTCAAACCTTCCGCAGAGGTCACACCTGGTCTGGAGCAAATCCAGTATTACATCGTGGACAAGTTCCATGCCTACCGTCGTGGACAAGTTCCATGCTCTTGCAACCCCCGCATCTTGGCAAATCTGCATACCTTGGTTGTTTCATTGATTTCATCTGCTTAGTAAACTCTACAACTTACCCAATGTTTAGAGAGTCAGAAAGTATTGAATTCACACTAACAAACACCAACCAAGATTGCCTGGACACCTGAGGTATCAAGAGATCGTTGGGACAACGTGTGAAAGGCGTCAATACCAACTTGGCAGAGCAGGTGTTTGCCCGTGATCAATGAAATGCGTGAGAATAGGCATAGACTTCTACTTTTGTGGCTCGCAAAGAGGCACAATGATGCACTCCTACATGGCAGCGCCTCATATCTTCGCTCCATCCCCAACAGCAAGTCCAAGACGGCAAGCAAATCGTACAATTGCTCCAAGAACAAGAAGACTCCAAAGGGAAAGAAGGTGAAGAAGACCACCATGAAGGGAATGAAGGTAAAGAAAGTCATGAAGGGCATGACGGTGAAGGGGATGAAGGTGAAGAACGTCATGAAGGCCATGAAGTGAGGCGCCTGAGTAGAGACAAGTTTCATGTGCATGTGATCACGTCGATCTCAGCTAATACAAAGACGCAAGATGTGAGCAAGACAAAAAGCTGAAAAAAAACAATTACAAAACATTATAAAACATGGAAAAAAGCGCACCCCCACAGCGTCCCGCTCTCAAAATCTAGTGCACGGTGCGGAAAGTGGAACGATTTCCAACCAAACGCCATGTTATTTTTTCTCGTCGTTCTTCGTGCAATCAACATGAAGCACGCCAAGGACAACAGCAAACACGCACCCATACCCCATGCACATTGCACACCACTTGGCCAGGAAGGCGCGCAAATTTGTAGAAACCAGCCTGGACATTTAGCTAGGTTGTTTCACACGAAAGAAACTATGAAATTTGCAAATACGATCGTTCGATCCAAAAACTGAAACCACGTTGCCCGAAGCCGTCCCGAATGCATGGGGCACAGTGCTCGTATTTGGCGTAGCTCGGGCGGTCAACGCGTGCCAGATCGAAAATATATTTCATCAACGGTTGGTTTGTCAATGGTCGCTGAGTCAACTGGAGCGTGGGAGCCGGAGGCGGGCAAATTGTTGTTGCACCTGTCACGGAGCGCAGCGGCCCGGACTGAAGGCGAAGGCGGCCTCCTGCACAGCTCGCTCCTTCAAGAACTCTGTGTGGTGGTCCGCAGCCACCGTGCACGAGCGGTGCTCCGCCGCCGTGCTGAACTTTCAGAGTAATTGGTTTCGTCTACTGAGCGTTCTCTGAGCCGGCCTCTCTAGATCCTAGGGCTTCCTGGCTACGAGCGGAGTTCTAACCGCAGCTGCATGCGGACAGCGCATTACAGCTGCACCCCTTCCAGGGTTGTCCCTTGACATCTGTTTCACTCTTTCTTTCTCACCCTACTGCGCTTGGCTCTAATCTTTTCGCAGGCTTCCTCAATTTTCCACCGAGCAGCCCCCCGTTGGCCTAAGCATCATCTCAGAAGCCCTGCTAGCCTGTGCCTGTTCGATCTTGGTTTCACATCAGTGATGATCAGACGCGTCGTCATGACTAGAGGGGGAAACATAAAAACATTCCAAAACATTTGTTTTTCAATAGGCCAACAGACTGACACCAAGAATGAACATAAACTCCTACACTAGAGAAAACGAGATAAAACCTAACGGTTTTTCATGGCAGCTGCTCCGTCAAAATGCAAAACAGAGAACCTAGGGAAACAACATTGCATTAAACATTCACATGTTTTTTGCTTACTTGACACCATCTTGAAATTCACGGATCACCGTGTAAAGAGTTTCCGAAACCAAACCTAGGGTCCATCAAGTGTTGATCCACATCGCAGTTTTACCCGGGAAGCCGTTTGGGTTGAATAGGTTGGCGTGAGCAAAATGAACTCTCAAGCAGTGTGGGTGCAGACTGTACCAAGTGTGTTCAACACCCTGAAGGCTAAAGGTGCCCTCCCCACCTGCCAGGAGATGCTTGACAGACTAATGAAAAGAAACAGCTCGTTCTCAAGAACCATTTGCGCTTTCTTCACGATGCGCAACACAAAATACACAAGCGCGTCGACAGGGAGGCGCGCGGCTTCAGACTTGGCAAGTGGAAGTTTCCTTGGCTGTGCTTCAAGGGCCTTGGCCCAAACTGTTCCAAAAAACGCCCACTACTGCAGCCACAAGACACCTCATTTGTGTCCAAAACTTTGTCCCCCACTTGACTTTACTTGGAAGTGTTATTGTGTGTGTGTGTGTCCGGTATGCTGGAATATGCGGCACGTGCCGCTGCGTTAACACAAAGTTGTTATTTAGGACCACGTATTTCACACAATTGCCTGGCGCAGCCATGTCCGAAATTCATTGCGGCATGGTGGGGCATCATTCATGGAGGAGTTGTAACTTCAACATTTTTTGCCGTCACGACCCCGACATGATTTCCAAGACTTCGTCGATCCAATTTCCTCCAACGCTGACCATCACAACCTTCACGGCGTATGTTTTTTCCATGATGTTCCATCTCCGTTGCGTGAATGTTCCTGCATGGTGACTTTTTGGTCAACGTGGCCACCCAAACGAAATAGATCAAGTTTCAATCGCGCTTTGAAATTCAGGGGCCCAAAACCCAAAGGCATTCATCTGGTATTATTTGGTAGAAGGGCAACGTGCAGGCATCATCGTCATGTGAGCAACAGTCAAAACACAAACATGTATCATAGCCACCCCCTCACGAGCCATGCTCACCAGAACATGACGAATGCACATGGGGTTTGAAAGTGGCCAATGTATGTCATGGAGAATTGGGATGTTCGACTTAGGCGACGCATGCCCCGAAAATCCCCGAAACATACTTCCTGAAATCGCTGCTACTTCAGCTTTCGCATTGTACGTTGCATACCCCACAGTCAAACATCCTGTCCCTGGAATGGGTGAAACTTCTATATTGTCCGGCTGTAATTGCTTGGCATGTGTTTTTGGATTTTTCTCCGTAATTATGTGTAAAGAGGCTGTCGTTTTTTAAGGGTCTTTTCGATTTGAAGCGACGCCTCGGTGTTTTGTTCTGCCGCTGGTGTGCTGCTGGTCAGCTGCTGCTTGTTTGCTGCTGCTGCTGCGGCGGCGGCTGCTACTGTTGGCGCTGCTGCTGGTTTAGTGTTGCTGCTCTGCTGCTGCTTGGTTTGCTGCTGTTTGGTGCCGGGCTGCTGCTGGTGTGCTGGTGGGTGCTGGGGCAGCTTTAAAAGACATTAAAGAACAATGATGTATAGACCGGGCGCTGACATTGTCCAATGCTAAGGGTGTTGTGGCATGAGACACGCAATTAGAAACGGTTGGCTGCAACAGTTATTTGCGCGGCGGCGAGTAAACTGCGCGGCGGCAGGACAGTGACACAGTGGCAACGCAAAGGCCAGATCTCATCAGACCACGGGTGGTGCTGACCATTGGTGGTGTTACTTGTGACTGGGCTGCATTGGTCCTCCGGCCGTGCTGAATACATATGTATATTTCATTTGGAAACCGTGCAGGCTGGGGTGTGCAGGTTTTTCCCGGCAGCATGCATGTATAGAGTACATTGCCCACAGCATATTTACACTGATAATGTTACAATGTTACATGTAATAAACCTCTACATACGTGTGTTTTTCACACGGGCATACATACACATACATGCATACATACATACATACATACATACTTACTTATTTACTTACTTACCTACTTACTTACTTACTTACATACATACATACATACATACTGCATGCATGCATGCATATGTGGGGGCCAGTGACTTTGATCCGACCAACGCTTGCTACTCTGGTGATCGCAGCGTGCCAGAACTTGGGAAGTTTTAGGGTTTAAAATTTAACGTGGCTTTTGTGCTGATTCCAATAAAAGTCACGTTAGGCCTTTGCGACTGCGACATTTAACAAGAAAACAACGATATTGCATTTGGCCATCGCAGGCGTGCTTTGCAAACGCGAGTTGCAGGCAGCAGTGGCCGCTGGAGATGGTTTCTTGGCCGTGCTATGGGTCAGAAACCACGTGTTGATATAGGTGAAAACATGTGGGAACATCGGGTTGTGATTGTTTTCGCGCGGAGCCGCTGACGTACCTCCTGCCATTGGTGCAACAGTTTTTAGCAGTTGTTGTTTTTTGGCCCCGGATTTGCGCCAACCAGCTCCACTGGAGGTTACTCCTATTGCCGGCCATGCATCCTGGACTGGTTCCGTGCTCACGAACGTGATGGTTCCCAGGTGTCGTCCCCCGTCACTGGTGAAGCGCTGTCGGACAAGCTACTCGGACTGCGCATGTGAGGGTGGTAGTTTCCATTGTTTTTGACACTTTCCTGTGGAGAAGTCACAACGCTTTGGTCATATAGTCGGTTCGTTTGCGCTTTTTGGCAGGAAAATCGTTGGCCAACGGGGCCAGGGCAAGCTTGGTAGTTGGGGCGCGCGACCGTGGATTGCACGACGGAGGTTTTCACGTCGCCTGGATGGGTGACCCTTCCATAAAGCAACATGGCATCCGTAAGGCCAGCCAAAATGCCGACATTCTGCACACTTGGGAGGTCCTGGCCGGCAGTTTTGCCTTCACCCCTTGAAGTGCAGAAACAAATTGACCGTGGCTGATACAAAAGGCTGGTAGACTAGCACGTAGGCTACGGTATACTCCTGTGCGTCTGTCCATTCATCAAGGTACCAGTGTTTAGATCATGTCAGTCCGTTCTCCCGATTCGAAACGAAGAATTGAGATGTATAGATAAGAAATTGTTTGCTGACCGGCTGAGCAGGTCTCATGCGTTCTTTTGGGGAATCTGCAATAATTCATGCGATTGTGCCACAAGATTTTGAGTTGCTGTCCTCTGTCCTTGAGGCTGTTGCTGCCGAATTTGAACCTTCGGGAAACCATCCTCTCCGTGCAGCAAGCTTTGAAGACTTGGGACGAGGTCAGCACAGCCTTTGGCACGATGTCTGCGAACTGCGGGTGAAATGGAGGAATCGACCAGAGCAAAGTGTTCACATTGGCAGAACTAGGGTGCTCCGCACCCGGATGTGGTTGGCACATTGCAGGTCGATAGCATGGTAGCTTTCCTTGGTGGACACCGGTTGCGAGACAGGTGAGGTATAGGCATGACATGGTATATCACGGTATGGCACATGCTAATGCGAAAGGTATGTGCTGGCAAACGACGACACTGTTTGACAAGAATGCATATGCATGGCGAACATCCATGGTCAAAAACATTCAAAAACAACGTGTGGTAAGGGGTTTTGGAAAAGAGGCAGGCCACCGCCCATCACCCATCGCCAATTTCTTTTGGCTGCAGTGATTTCAGAGGTTCGATGGCACTGGCACCTCAAGATGTCTTTCAGATCGTCATCGTCCATAGCCCTCCAGAACCATCCGCCCTTGGATTGTACCATCTAATCTACTCATTTACTCTCAATCCACTCATCCGCTCTCTTAGAGCTTTCTTGCTACGGGTACGTCCAGGAGCGCCCCCGTCTCGCGTCCTAGCGTCCCTTCGGGTTCCCAAGCTCGGTCCGACCCCCACCCAGGCGGAAGCGGAGCGCACGTCGCTCCGCGCGGAGGTGCAGAAGCTGCTGGGCGAAGGCGAGTCGGCGGCTTCGGTGGTTAATCACCATATCTGGTCGTGACAGGTGCCAAACATTCTCATTCCATGTCTAATTTTAGCAGGTTTTCAGTCATAAAGACCCCTTGGTTACCAGCCACATCGTGAGAGATTTGTATCCACTGGCTCAGCTCTAGAACCTGTCGAGGCCACAGCCGGAAGCTCCAAAACGTTGACCCGCGTGTGATGCCTGGCCTTGGCTTGTTGGAAATGATGCGTTGCAGAGGTTGGTGCATTTTATTGGCGAGGGCCACGTCCCAGTGAGGGTTGCGTGGAACAGAAGCATCACAATATTGGTTGGAAGTTGGAAGTCAAGAACCAAGTTACCAAGTTGTGATCGTGGTCATGGCCATTGTGATTTGTAATCAATGTTTTCAGTTAGCCCTCTTGGCATGGTTTTTGCCGGGAAAGGCCACATTCTGGAGGAACTTGACACTGAACGATGTGTAGCCGGGACCTTTGGTAAGTGGACCGCTTCATCATCAACCAACGGGTATTCCGGTTGAGGGTAGCTAACCTGGTCTCAGGAAACAACCCACCTGAATAGATTTGCTGCAGAATCAGCACCTGGGAGGCAGGATGCTGGATAAAACCCTACAGAAGTGTCATGAAGTGTCCAGAATTGATGCGTCAGACCAGGTAGAACCAGCGTTTGCCTTTTGGTGGTTCTTCAAGGTAAAGATGTTGGTAACAGTGCTGAGGTGTTGATGGACAATTTTGTGCTAGATAGGGCAGCCAATTTCTGTGCTGAAAATGAAGTGATCGAAAGAGGCCGTCCTTATATATACACAGACGTGTTTGGCAGATGTATTGTATATGGTTTTCGTCTTACGATTGCTGTTAGGTGTTCTGACCTGTATTCTGGCATTATAATGCCCTACCTATTTGGTTTGATGGAGGCATGGGACCCGATGGGACCCAGCCAAGGGCCGAAGCACAAGCCCAAGCAGCGCATTTCGAAAGGCAGGTCTTGAACCAGAAGCAGGAGCAACGCGAGAAATGCCGGAGGGGTCATGGAGCTGTTGACCAAGTCTTTGTTTGATTGTCAATCGGTTGCGGGAAGATATGTTAAGGTTCTATATTGTGTGGAACCAGGAATGTCACCAGAAATGAACACCGCCCGGAAATGAAATCTGACATGGCAGCAACCACTTCAAGGTGATGTCAAAGCATCATCAAAGCCAACTTGGTACACCGAAAGCTACTCAATAAGCAAGCAGCATCATCCAGTCATCGATGACTCCACGTCACATCGTCTCGAATGTTTGTGGAAGCTTCTTTTCAGGGATTCTCCGCAAGAAAAGGCCGCCATGGTTTCACCCGATTCCGCGTCGTTGGATTCACTCGATTCCGGTCTACCCGGAAGGTGACACGAGTGAAGTCCGGGATTCGGGACTGGGATCCACTCTGATCGGAGAAGCATGGAAGGAGGTGCAGCGGCTACAGATGGAGCTGGCGAGGGGCCTGGATTCACAACAGTGGCACTGCTCATCCAAAGGAAACGGTCCACTAGCTGTTTCTTGCTAACGGTGCGTCACTCAAGCATTGAATATCATTGAATTGCCATGGTTGAAACGATCACTGACGGCATTTTCCTCAGCAGTCTCGACATTAGGCCACAGTTTGGCCGCTGCCAGAATTAATTGTTGTTGCATGTCGTTGCCATACCATGGCCAGATACAATTTACAGTAGTGACGGACCTGATGAGAAGAAATTTGCACAAGGAGCAGCCGCATCCCAAAGTAGACAATTCATGACACTCCTCTCCCTGATTTGACCTCATAGTCACTAGTCACTTTCGCTAGGCAGAGTCACTAAAGGACCATGAGCAAAGTGACTTTTCGGGTGCTTCAAAAAAGATGCCAGGGGTTTGTCAGAAAAAGTGGTGCATTTAGCTTGTGTTACCTTCTTTTTCATACTTGTTTCCCCAGTGCGCTCCAAGATTGGTGCCGGTATTGTTTTTTGAAGTATGTAGTGCAGGCAACCAGCAGTTCCAAAGACTCAAGACAAAACACGTATATATACACCTAGAGAGTCTGACTGGGGACTGAAGAGGCCTTTTAAAAAAACATTTAGTGCGATCTTATTCTTAAAGCTTGGGGTAACCCTCTGCTTTAGCCCTCGGCTTATTCCCTACAAGCACCTCTGCAGTGGAGTCACGTGCTGGTGACATCGGCAACCTTGGCACTGACGCAAGAAATGCTGCTGGAGTGACTCGAGTGTTGCGCATGGCTTTCGGTCGCAGACGGTTAAGGACCGATACCACCATGTCATGGAGGAAAGGGACTTCTCTGGATTGGATGCCAAGGCGACGGATTATGACGGATCACACATGCAGCCTGCTCAACAAACTTCCAGATGATTCATTTCGCTCTGGCTACACCTGGAGTCGATTCAATGCTCTCGGGCCGCAGCCACCCTTGATGGGGCATGTCATTGAATGATTTTGGGATGCTGGAATGGGGGAATCCTCCTGCATGTCATTACATTCCAATTCTAAGCTTGCAAGCCTTCAAGGAAAAGTTTGACATGGCTGTGGTGTGTGGTGGTCCCTTTTCTTTTTTGGGCAAGTTTTTGCAGAACTTTCTCATCAAGAATTGTCATGGGCACTGGGCACGTGCCCTAACACACAGCCACTGCGCATGTTTGTGCCAATAACACAAAGCCACGGGGCACTTGCCCTAAGTCGTATCTTATCACCCGAAAACCATATCAATCGGGTTTCCTTGCTCTGCTCAGCTACGAGCAGCCAAGACGTTTGAACCTGTGAACCTTGTGGCGCCCGGGCCCTCAGGCGGCCGAGCTGTCCCTTGTGGCTGCCGAACTGCGCTCCAGCATGGTGGAGGTGTGGAACCTCCGACTGGGTGGACGGAGTAGGCCTTATATGATTAGAAAGTCCCACCATTTAGAAACAAAGGTCGATTAGGTAGCCCTATACGGCTCTTAGTCTCACACATACTGAGGTGGTTGGGGTGGGTGCCAAGGGGGTTCTAACTACCCTGTGAGGATGTGGTTGAAGCCCTTAGATCTTGCACTTGGCGTGGGTTTGGCGGGCAGCCACCACAGTTGATTCACAGGTTGTGGGGCTGGAGCCAGGGATTCTGGCAGCCTGCGCTGCTCTTTGATGAGTGCCCCAAGGTTGTTGTGTTGAAACCGGGTTGAGCTGTTCCATGCTGCCGCCGGTTGTTGAACCCACTGCGAAGCGGGACTTTTGGAACATGTGTGTGTGGGCTTTAGAACAGGGAGGCCAGCCAAAGACCTGCTAAACGGAGGACTGGACTAGACACAGTGGTTCGGGGAGACCCAGTGGTTCGGGGCCTCCCTTTTTTACATTCTACATCTCCACACCGTTCGACCAGAAGATTTTGCCTTCGCCGGTCACCTTTAGCTTTAAAAGAGATAAGATCCTGCTGAGAGGTCTTTGTTTGGGTAATAGTGCACTGACAACGAGGGCCGCAAGCATCTTCACATCTCTGAAGCTTTTAGGAAGCAGGCAGGGTCAACTTTTTTTGAGGTGCATCAAACCTTATAACTTATGTATTTGTATCATTGATTCCACCACTGCCATAGTCACGTTTTCTGTCCTTTTGCCTGGGAGGTGAACAGGTTGGAGGATGAGCTGGAGAAGACTCGGCAGCAGGCTGGGCCGCACAAGAGCCAAGTGAGTCAGTGAGCATTGAGGTGAGCAAAAGCGGACGAAAAACCTCCAAGAAGCAACAGGATGATGTCTCCACAGAGCAGCAACAGATGTAAACCTATAGCAGCACCCGCCCCTGAAGTCTTGCGCTGCATGAGCGAATAGCATGATCTAGCCAGCTTGATCTTCTTCTATGGCCGCAATCGTTTCTATGGCCCGATTCGGTTTACTGTAATAGGTTTTAATATGTTTTAATAGCATTTGACAGATCAGGTCTTCACTTCAGGCCACGGGACGCAGGCCAAGTTGCAGGCCACCGAGCTGGAAGAGCTACGGACCTCGCAACGGGACGCGTTCTTCACCGAGCAGATGCTGCGACAGGCGCCGGAGAACAGGGCGTGGGTGAAGGAGGAAACGTGGCCAGCCTTTTGAAGAACAGAAGTGGCAAAAGCAGGCCAGAACCGCAAAAGCTCCACGGGACCTTGGCAAGATTTACTGACACCGGGGTGATTAAAGAGGTATGAGAGTAGATATTCATTGCGGGACATGTCGTCTTCTTGGAGATTCGGTCCACTAGAGTTGGTGGACTACTTGCTCGGGATGCTAGTAGTGCTACCTATTGCTTGCTGCATTGCAAGCACATCTGTTAAAGTGCAAGCATCCGTCGTCGTTGATATGCTGAAATTACTTATCGAACGAAGACTTGAACGCCATAACGCAGCCACTCCATGTACCCCCCAAACTACCCCAATGTACACATATATATATATATATATCATATATGGCAGCCCCATGGAGTGTCTGGGTAATGATATGCTATCAGTTTGGGGAGTTCCCCCCAACCCCACCGATTGGTCGAACGTGCGACCGATCAACTAGCGGCGTGCCCCAATGGGGTTGATTTAGGAGCTGGCCCGAGTGAAGGACGAGTTCAGCGGGCTGCCTGGCAGTGAGGGGTTTTGAACAAGCAAGGAAAAGGAAAGGAATAGTTCATGGCCACCCTCTTGGGACATTTCTTCGGCGGGCAGGGTTTTGAGATTGGACGGACGGTTGACATTTTGTGTGAATGGTGTGGGCCTCAGACGTGTATTGAGGAGTGAGGTGGATTTTGGAAGATGGTTTTCTTCTCTCGAGCATCTCGGGTAGTTGCAGCTCGACCCTATCCGATGAGGTACTTGTGTGGACTTGTGTGGCAGGGAGAGGTTTCCAAGCACATCACTCTCCAGGAAGTGCCCCCCTGTCACACACGTATTGACACTGCTCCATATATTGACACTTGGTCATCTCACACTGCTGTCATAAGGGTCTATGCTCTATATTTGACACTGCTCATCAGGACCACTTAGACGAAGAAATGTCTGGTTCTGGTGGCTTTTGATTTTCATTTGCGCGCCAGATTTCACCACCTGTCGCCAGAGCTTGCTTGTGAGCTGGGCTGCCAAGGAAATTGACTGTGGGAGGCGCCAAGGATCACTCCTTCGAGCTGAACAAGGAGCCACGGGGAGCGCAGGTATATATATATATATATATGCGTATATATAGCAGACCTAGCGTAGGATTTTCTTACTCAAGGTCACTTGCAACCTGTAGGCAGGATCTGGCATGATGATGGTCTCTAGATGCGGCAGGCATTCCGACAGTCAGAGTTTGTGCATGTGTTGACCCTACATCTGTGTGACGCGTGGTGTGGCCCACTCTCAATTGATAGTAGCGCAGCTATTTCCAGAGTCCGTCCTTCATTTCAAAGAACCTTGCCTCGAACTTCAAACATTCTGTTGGAGGAAACCATCATCTTTTTTGAAGTCTCCATCCGGGTGAGTTTTCTGGGCAGCTGGATGGGTTTTCGTCGCATCCCAAAAGGCGCGCCACGAGCTTCTGAAGAGTCAAGTCCTGGTGGTGGACCTTCAGAACCAGCTGCGGGCAGCGCGCGCCTCGACACGCAGAGGACGAGTCCTTGTGTCCAACGGTTGGCACTCCTTAGAGTCCAAGAGCTTGGTAGTAAAGGTACGTACAAGCAGGCCATCACCACCAGCCACTCTTGCTAAACAAGGTTCTCTGAAGACCCCGAAACGATACCTAAGGGTGACGGTGGTGGCATGCTTTGCTAGCAATCATCACGAGTCATTGTGGTATGGTCATGGCAACGGCCCTTGTCCTCGCTGTGCTGGAGAACTGTCCATCAGCGGGGGATGCGGAGTTGCATGGGAAAGAACATGAGGGACCTGATGAAAACCCCCAAGATGTGCGGAAATCCAAGCTCAGTGCGGTGCAGTCAAGATGGTAACGATCTGAATTCGTAAGCACTCATTGACCATTGCACACAGAAATTACCTGGATGGAGTTGCGTTTGCCTGCTTTTTTCAGCCATTTTGCGAATATGCCGTAATGACCAGGGAATATGGTCAAAGTTCAGCTTTATCCGTAATGACCAGAAAAAATGTCAGTCAAATGACTGAAATCGCTGGTTGTTTTGGTCATAGTTGAACCAAATATGATCAAATATGGATACTACCCGAACAACGCCCAAAAAAACACAAAATAACCCAATAAACGCCCAAAATATATTTTGGCATTTTCCCGGAAATGACCAAAAACTCAGAAATAACAGCAAACCGTAATGACCAAAAAAACGGCCACGGCCGTACGACCAGGAAAATTCAGCCATTTGCAGTTTCAGGTACATAATTAGTAGTAGAATCATGGGAGACCTTCATGCGCAGCCATGCACAGCCAAACAGAGTATAGCAGTATATAGCAGTATACCGTTCTATTCTTTCATGAATCCAGCGCAGGTTATATATTTATATAAATTATAAATATAGTATATTTTTTGACCCATGCTGAAACATGAGGTCAGACGGGCTCGCGACACGTGTCTAAAAACACTTACGAACATATTAGACCGGGCCCAGCCGCGCCTTAAAACAACGAGGACAACAACAAGATGGAGCCCACGAACCCGAAAAGAACGCCAACACTCAAAACCTGGTACGACACTCTTACTGCAACCAAAGCCCCAAAAGGACATATACCATCCACTTGTGACCGACCTAGGACCAACTCAAGACCAACTCCCCGTCCGAGGTCGAGAGCCACCGGCGCCGTCGAGCCCAAAGGCGCTGGAGATCCCGCAGGAGAATCAGTTCCAGTCGGAGCTCTTCGAAATGAAGTGGCTTGCTACGAGAGAGCGCGAGGCAGGCGCATGAATCGCGAAGAACGACGATGGTTTTCGGAGAGTTTGGCGATTGTTGGGGGCGGGACGCCCGTGGGCATGTGGCACAACTGTTGGGAAAAGGGGGATGAGAGGAGCATCGGAATTTGATGATGGAATCTGGGAGAGATGGGGAATTCTGATGGAGAGGATTCGAACAAATGACCAGTGGCCGTCTTCCAACCAGTGCAAGCGAGAGCCGATCCCAGAAACTCCAGCCTTCCACCTGGGGCCGACGTCCTGTGATGGTCTGGGCGAGGCGAACCAGAACCTGCAGCGACCGGCGGGTGTCTGGGCGGTGTTGGCGTGCGGTGGCTGAGGCAATCGCTCTCCAAGCAGGACAACCTCGTGGCGGAGTTGCAAACGCAGATCACGGCCTTGCGCTCGCAGAACAGGCTCCGCCTTTCTGTTTTGTGCATCATGTAGGTGGAAAGATGTGGAAAGAAGCTGATGGGCCCTAATGAGAAGGACAGTTTGTATCTTCATGCCTTCATGCATCTTCGATGTTTGCCTGGGGTGATTCATTGCAACAACTAATTAATGCAGATAATTTGTTTGGTCAACCTCCATCCCAGCATGCATATCATGGGAACCAAGTGATCTAGTCTACCTGCATGGAATATCATGCAATTAGTCTCGCTTAGAGAAGGAGGAATGACACCATCACACATCATCACACTGACTGAGTCCTAATCGCAATGATTCATAGGCAGTGTCCCATTACCAGCAGTCAGATGTACCTCAATGATTCAGCTTCTTCCCGCAGTGGGCTGAAGCAGTTGGCGGAGTTGCGGGAACAACGACGGCTCGAAGCACAGGCGTTGGCGCTGGGGCGCCGTGGGATGGGTAGGTAGGGGGCATTTGCACCCCACGCTAGCGAGATGGTAGGGTGTTGACAAGGGTGTTCAGATCAATTACCATAGATATAAATCATCCTTCCCACCCTCTGAAATCCCACGATGCTACATGATGCTACCATATAATATGCTACCCAGTATGCTACCCCACCTTCAACAAGGGCTGAAATGATCCTAGTCCAGGCTTCACAGGAGTTCCCTCAAGTGAGCCAAGTGGACCGACCCGTACAACATCTTCCGGTGTTTTGCTGCGGTTTTTCCTTCGGCCCCGGTGGAGTCGAAGGTTCAGCGCAGTCGCATTCAGGATGAGATCCTCAGACTCCGCGGTGAGGCCTCCGAGCGCTGCGCTCGTGGGGTGGCGGAACGGGCGAGAAGCGCGTGCGGAGAATCAGTGGCTGGACTGAGGATGGAAGGAGGACGAGTGAGGGATTGCTGAATTCTCTTGCGGGATGAGCTACTGAGCAAGTCCCAGTGGCTCGAGCACACGACCAGGCACATCACCATCTGAAAGTCTCATTTCCCGGAGATCTATGAACCGGCACATCACTAATGGCTGAATCACTCAAAGCTCGAACGGTGAGGTATGTTGACGCCCACCATCAGTCGCGCAGCCACTTGTGCCACTCGTCACCCATAACTACCCGCAGTCGCCCCTCACTACTTCCCACTACGAGTCGTCCCCTGTGTTCTGGTTCCTTCCGCACGTCAGAAGAGGATTTCGACAAAGGCAACAAGAACCACATCTTTCAAATGGTTTAGTTTCGATAAGCATCCATACTATAAAACGCATCCTACCTAACCACCCCCAAGAGTTGGAGCCAGCTTGCCCATCTTTCCGGTTCGCGTGCGGGATCGCAAAACCTTCGAGTAACAGGTGGACAGTTCGTTTTGACCTGCAGCTTTCCGGGGATCTCGACGGCTTGGGAGTCAGACTGGCTTAGCCATGAATATCTGGACCCGACGGACCGTTCGTACCCAAAATTGGGACATGACCCGAAGAAAAAAGGCCATATATATACTTGTTACCATCTGGTGCAAGGAACAGATGGACAGTTCGGCTGTTTGGCCCTTCCGGCGCAACGGGTGCCATCCCTTTTTCAAACATGAGAACCTGTTCACAAACAGCTTGACTCACTCGAGTGCATCTACCGACTCCGAGAATCCACTCCCCAGCGAATCCGCAGCTCCTCACCATCGACCGCCGCACGGCGGTGACCACCGAGCTGGAGCGTACCACGGAACTGGCCACGCGCGAGGCGCCCCAAATCGGCTGGAGGAATCGGTGGGTTTTCCAAGTTTTCCACGTGAAAAAACCAATGAAATCCATGCATTGGGTGGTTAGAATCCAGATGAAAGTCCAGAATCCATATTAAGTCCGAAATCTGATGACATTTGTGGGTTGGTGTGGTCCTTCCAGTTGAAAAACTTCGCTCCAGATTGATCCGGGACTCGCTGGATGATGCTTTCTCAGCAGACAAGTTGAAAGCGCCCAGGGCACGGCTGAAAAGGAAGGTCACTCAGTCATGCAACGGTGCAGAGGCGCCTTCGACTCTTCATCTCTAATACCTGGCCTGTGACATCTTAGAGTGTTGAATCCAGGCTTTTACAGGTCAAAACTACCTTTTTGTTTAAAGTTTCCGGTCAACGGAGTCAACGGAGCAGCACTCCCGGTCAAAGCCTTGGACGCTGACCAGTGCACGCAGTTCGGAGGCCGAGCGATTGGAAGAGGAAGTCGTGGTGCTGCAAAAACGGCTGGAGGAGCAACAGCGAAAGTTCAGAGATTTAGCGCCCTGGCGTAGAACATGTAGCGCCCGAGCCCGGGCAACCGGGGAATGACCGGGACATGATATTGAAAGACTCTGTAACATGTAACACTGCAGTAATTCGTCATAGTTAAGTAAGTAGTTAAGTAGTTGATGGATGCTAAATGCTAACCTGAAAACAATTCCCCAAGTCCCAGGCCCCAAGTCCATCCAACGCACGGGTGGTCGTCGGAAGCAAGCGATATGAACAGTTGTTTTCTTTGATTTTTTTTTCATTTGGAGTAGAACATCAGGCTGCTCCAGTCGAGACCGCCGCAATGACGCTGGAACCGGAAGACGATTCCGGGAACCAGGGTGTCCAGTTGATGTCCTGGAACCGGTGTGGTCCGCAAGGTCTCCAGTTTGGGCGGAGAGCCATCGCCCGACAACGTGGAGGTCGCCCTGCGGACCAAGGCAGCCGAAAAACGATCGCAGACCAACGATGTGCCGATATACGACCCCAAGCTTCTGGTAGAACTTGATCTATACATACGCATGTATGCATTATATATGTTCATACTTCATACATATAATATTCATATCTACATAGGCTTTCTTTTTTGCGGTCACTAAGGGCGGTTGCCTGCAGCACGCGTTGCATCTAATTCCGAATTTAAAACTGCACTTGGCCCCTGAAGTAAACCCGTTTGGGTTCCTTCGGGCCCGCAGCATACTTAACAAGAAGCGCTGCGAAACAAAAGACCACCTGAACCGGGCGATGGACCCCCGTGAGTCATGCAACATGAGCAAAAGATGGCTGAGCAGCACCGCTTGATGATGTACTCAGCACTTGCTAAATAAGAGAGCGGCAGTCAAAGTCTGCCAGCTACTGAAAGAACGCCGTGTAGAACGTTCAAAAGCTGCAAAAACAAGAGTCACATAGCCACTGCCGGTTTGCAAACGCTCGCGTGCTGCCACGTGCTTCATCGGCAACATTACTTTCCTGACAAATGCAAATGGGTCTCGATCCTGGTTCTCCAACCATTCGTCGCTGCAGTGTTCCTCCATGGCCTTCGGGAGGCGATCCGTCAACGAAGCAAGGCCGCACCGTCTCGGCACACGGTCGCGCCATACTGTGGTAAAGCTGCATATGTGCAAGTCTCTTGCCATGGAATCCAACAAGCAAGAGAAGCACACTCTTCTCCTAATCCATGGGAGGCACAGGCGAACGTCTTTTCAGGTTCTGGGGCTGACAAGTGGATCCTATCGAAATAGGCAATCTTGAGCCCTATCTACATAGACATAGATATAGACATATATAATGTGAGATTTGTTTGCAATAGGAGTAACCTCTTCATCGTTGCTTTTGGGGAGGGGTCTTTGTACCCTTCATAATCGTTCCCTTTGGAGTTCATTTCATGTTGCTTTCATTCTACCTTTTGTTTGCCTTCATTTGCTTTCATGCTGCTTTCATTTGCTTTCATTTTACTTTCGTTTGCTTTCATGTTGCTATCATTTCCTTTCATTTTACTTTCATTTGCCTTCATTCTGCTTTCGTTCTACTTCCATTTGCTTTCTATTTGCTTTCATGTTGCTTTCATTTGTTTTCATTCTGCCTTTATTTGCTCTCATTCTGCTTTCATTTGCTTTCATTCTGCTTTTATTTGCTTTCATTCTGCTGTCATTTGCTTTCATTCTCCTTTCATTGATTTAATTCTACTTTCATTTGCGTTCATTCTGCTTTTATTTGCTTTGATGTTGCTTTCAATTTCTACTTTTGCTTTCGTTCTGCTTTCATTTGCTTTCATTTCCTAAGCCAGGAGCCAGAATAGGGACAGGGTCTGTAATTGTGGCCTCCCATATGTTGTGGATCCTGGGCGCTTGTAAGGGGTACCAATTGAACGACTGTTGAGGGGAAGCTTTTCATAAGAGGCTTTGATTGAAGACATGGATTTGGATGTTGAAAGATGGTGAATGTTTGAAAAGAGATGTTGAGAGCCACTAAATGGTGGATGTTGAAAACAAACAGAGATGTTAGTTAGTTTGTTTGTTTAGGATGGTGGGTTTGCAAGAAAGTGTTAAACATACATGTGCGTGAAAACCACCCAGAGCAAACTGGGCGAACCAGAGAAAGAATCTGCAGCATGTATGTCCTAAGCTTTCTGGGTGAGATTTGGGACCAGAATTTTATATTTATTGTCCCATGCCTATTTATGTTTATACCGCCCAAGCCATGACTTTTTGGGTAATATTGAGCCCATCGATATGCTGGGTTTGTGGACACCGGAATGGTCCAATTTGGTTCTCTCAAAAGAGCTCATGGAAGTGGATGGCGCTGACAGTTTGTGTCCTACCCGGTCATCAGTACCCGCCTTCACAGTCGATAAAAGACGATCACGATTTTTGACTCAGAATTTTACGAATCATCAGGGAATGGGATATATCAAAACCTGTTTTTGGCATCTCTGGTGCACTAAGATGGACCTGCTGCTACTGATTTTTCAGTGCGTTCTCTCCCTCAAAGCTGTTGTTGCCAGAACTGCAGTGTGGTCACGAGGTGTTGCAGCTGCAGAAACAGTTCAAAGATCGGGGCGACCTGTTGCGGACTGTAGCTTCTCGGCTTGTTGGGCTTTAACAATCATCCAACTACACAAGGATAGCGGCGCTGTAGCGCTAGCCACCCACGTGGATGCCGCTTCGCTGGCAAGGGAAGAAAGGCATCAGGGATACTGTATATGGAATAGCTTATCAACAGGCGGGAATTTGTAGAAACATGTTCAATAATCGGATCATTGTTTTCCTGCAGTAGTTCTGTTGTTCTTCCTTTTTGTGGAGGGGGCGCACCACATAGTCACAGAGGCCATCGCTGAAACCTGCATGCGGGTCCAAAATTGCATCAGACATAGGAGAGTAGCAGGGCGATCTCTATCTATGGTTGCCTGCTCATGTCTGACTCTCTTGATCCACCCAATGCCCAGCTCCCTGGTGATCCTTTGGTCCGTCAATGCTGTTTTTGATGCCCGTTTCCCCAGGTTTGGGTTCATCGACCTTCCAACCCATTGAGCGAACGGAATGAGGGCCTCGACTTGCCGGTCAGTGTGCTAAGTAGCATCTAAATAGCCGACCACCTCCACTCCCGTGGTCCGAGGTATCCTCACCAGCTCACCAGGCAACCCTCCTGTGTTTCTCGCTCTTTTGCTTCTCGCAACCCTCCTTTCGTTGTCCTTGGTATTCCCTGGGTTCTTGGTCAGAAGCAGGGGGCATGGGACCAAATCACAGCCTCTCGCTCGGACATGGTCGACCGACACCTGCAGCAAACGGACAGCTGCAGCATTCGGAAGAAGCTTTTTGTTGGGCCTGTCCTACTGCCTGTTGGGTTAGTCAGTAAACAAGGAAATCAAAATGTTTGAACAAAGCCTGCAACTGAATCATCATCATCCACTGTTACTGGTGATGGGATAGACCCAACATCTTCGTTCAGTTCTTTGTCAGAAGAGAACCTGCTTGGTTGGCTTTGCATAGACAGGAGCCATGGGGTAGTAGCAGCCAAACGCTCATTCCTCACGCCATGTGCAAGCCCCCACTGGCTCGCTCCAACCATCGTTTGTAACCTTCAACGCGACCTCCAGTCAACAAAACTCTGCACACTTAACCCCAAAACTCAGCTTTTCATCACAACGGGACTCAGCCTTTAACCCTAACAGACTCACCGACTCACAGACTAACTGGTATGAAAGGACGCGGCTAGAATGGCTCTGGAGACTCCACAGCCGGGCACAGCCAGACCTGAGGCGAAGGGTCTGGGCGCCAAGGAAGAAGTCCCAGAGACGGATCTGAAGCCCTTCTTCCAAAGCAAGGTGCTCACTGGGGCTCTTGAAGTTGCCGTGGGTAGGGCGCTTGAGGTAAGGTTAGAGGAGCCTCTTGGATTTGGGAGGAGCCAGGACGTAGAAAGTGTATATTTGATTATAATTGATAGATAAGTTGCTTGTTTACTTTTTGGAAGTCGCCATTGAGCTTCAGAAGAAGGGGGAAACCACGCGCGATTAGTATGTTTGGATGGGCAGCACCGCCCTTGCAGGCCCGGCAAGCGAAGAGTCGTACGGATCAGCTCTCGGCATTGGAAGCCTGACGGAGAGCGGGCAGAGCGCACAGGGTGCGCAGGGCGCGCAGAGCAGAAGATGAACGGCCGGAATGGTGTTGAGAGTTGCACTGCTGACCAGTTGGCAGAAGAAACCCCGGAGCAAGTGATAAGACATGATAAGACCATGGCATTTGTCCAGATTCTATCAACAGTGCAGCATCAACTCCAGATTGCCGACATAGCAGGAATCAAACCATGCAGTGTGCAATTAATTTACCAATCATAGGGCTATGAATCTGTACGAATTCCATATGGCGAGTCAAGACCTGGATCAAATCATGGATTGACATCCCTGAAAGGGAAAGGAATCTGTTCAGTCTATCGGTGGTCAACTAGGGTTACGGGGTTTTGACCCACAGCACCCACAGCCATCTCTTGTAGACATCTTGTTAGGCTGTTGTGTGACCCTCCGACGCCGTTCCAACACCTTCGGTTCCAGCAGCTTCTATCGGCCACGGTTCGTTTTTCCCATCGCCGCAAGGTTCTCTCACGGACCCCGGCCACAGAAGAACACATGTTATGTACAAGATCCATATAGACTTGATGTTGAGGCCAGACGTAATACATGGGCATAATGACATGCATGTGTTCGCTTAAAAAACCATTTTCTTTTGGGAACCACTCCTCAAAACCTCCCCAAATCCTACAAACAGTTGAGCTTTTGAGGCCGCTGTCCACCCGGTTCCACCGCTCTGCGGGTGGCCGGAGGCTCATTATAGCCTGCTTCTATGTAGCGGTGCTACATCTCTCCCCTCGTTGCCCACTATAGCTCGGCACGGAGCCGAGCCACCGCGAAAAAAGCCGCGGAGCGAGGCCAAGCTCTTGGGAAGCTCGGGAGAGCTGCACGAGTCCGAACTGGCAGACTTCGTGCAGAGCAAGGCGAGAGCGATGAGACGAGCTGGGACGAGCCGGGACCGGCTTTCGGGTTCCACAGCGGGCTGCCAGACATCCTGTTGACACGCCGAATGTCGGCGCTTGATTGATCAAACACCCCCAAGGGGGGCATTGGGCGCCTGTAACCACTCCCTTGGGCGACGACATCGCAGGTGAAAGACTTGCATCGGCAAGTGAAGGACCGCGACGAGCTCTTGTCAGAGCTCAGCTTCGTGGCCGTCGCTTGGGTTTGGTCGGCTGATCGGAGGAGTCCAGGAGGATGAGGAGGCGGGTGTTCTCCAGTGAGGTCTTGGGTTGTCAATAGGTGGTCATTCCGGCACTGAGAAGAACCATCTCAGGAGAAGAACATCTCCTTACAGGTCAGGAACGGACCTGTACCGGAGTTGATCATATACTTAGAGCACTATTCAATGAGGTACAGGAGGATGTTTTAGAGGATTTTGTTTCGAAGGGGGTCCCTTTCCATGGTTGCCCAAAAAGCGGGCCCCAGTGTTTGGACTGTAGCTGGTGACCGCTGGTGAGTTCTTCAGTCACTATTAGTCGAACCCAGTCGACTGGGGATGACTGGGGCGTTCGTTCCTCCCAGAACTGTCAAAGATTTCCTGACATTTCTTGACGCTTGAATTTAAGGATCCGTACTGACTCACCAGACCTCACTGCCTGGCTGGGCTGCGCCCCCAAGAAACCTCACTTTTCTCCATGAACAAGACAGACACCAAGATGTCAAGACCAAGACAGCCTATCTCCCTTGGCCTTTTAAACATTGTTATATTCTCAGCACCAGACGGCGCTTTCCACTTCACCACCTGCCACCGCAACTGACGTCATATCAGCCACCATCAGCCACCCGACCGGACCGAGGACCGAAACGGACCCGTTTCAGCCAACAACGCGTGGACCCGCCGCGGACCGGAGCGAGTCGAGGCCGATTTCTTGGAGGATCTGGGCCTCGCCGACTTGGATCCTCCCGAGGACCCTGCGTCGCTGGAACCCTCATCGTCGCAGCGGACGATGCGCGTTTCGACGGTCGGTGGACCGTGTTTGGAATCGGTCGTGGTGTCTGTTTTGGTTGGCCGCTGGCCGTTGGAAAGAGCCATGAAAAGTGGGGTCCATGCTTTGGGGGCCAGTTCTTAAATAGCAAGTTTCTTTTTTGAAAGGGGCAGGTCTCCAAGAGGTCCTTGGAAATGAGGGCATATGGGGCCTAGAAGGAAGTGTTGATTTTCCGACCTGCCTGAGAGGTGAAAAAGGATGAAAAAGGATACGTCTTAGGACAACCCACAAGTTTTCTACGAACTCCACTCTTAGCTCCGCCTTCTTGTCAGAAGAACATGTCAGAAGTCATCCCGGCAGACCAAGCATTGTCGTTTGCCTCGTTTACCTCCAACTACCTTTGTTTTTTCAGGTCAATTGGAGTTCTGCGTGAACATGTGTCTCGTATCTGACGTCATGTGCCTCCGCATCGGTAGACTCACCACGAAATCTTCAAAATGGAGACTTCGGTTTCGGAGTAGATGTCACAATCTCCAGAAGGTGATTTATATGGATCCCCATGTATAAAGGACATGTTGGCTTCAAGCCACTGTACCCCCCCAAAGTTCAGGCTTCACCGGCCGTGATTTTGTGCCGCAGGACGCTTGCGCAGCTGCTCGCCTGGTGACTGGCGCTTTGCTGAGCGTGGAAGATAAGGCGAGGCGAGGATGGCTTGACTGGCCTCGGGGTGCACGAGCCGAGCCCAACCATATATATTAATTATGATACCTATTTTTCTCGGATATATATGGTTGGGATACCTATGTTTTCCCAAAGATACTGGGATTTCAACCAAAGATATGTGGTTGGGATACTGGGATACCTATTTTTGTCCCGGATGAACATCATTGAGCCCAAGCTTCCAGCGAGGAAAGCTTCAAATAATAGGTTGGACATATATGACAGTCTATACAGTTCCCAATAGGTTGGGCCCAGGTGGAAAGGCAATAAAGTTTGGTTCTGGATGGTGGCGGAATACATGTCGATTGTGTTTGGTGGTATGTGCTTTTTGGTTCAACTTGGAATCTGCGAAGGTGGAAGATTCATTCGCATGTGTTCTATATACGATTCAGATTCCAGGCCTTTTCGTAACCTGTTCAGATATGTTCATGGTATTCCTCCCTGGCCACGAAGAACCACTGGAGCGCATGGAACCTCACTATGGAACCTGCGCCGTGAGAGCTTGGTATTTCAGGGCCTGCTCTCCAGTTGGTATTTCATTGTGAATTCGCTGAAGAGAATGATCTGAACCCCAAGGCCCATGCAGGACCCAGGTAGAGGATTCCAAGCTCAGAAGTTTCGAACAAACAATGAACATCATGAAGATCTGGGATGGCACGGGATGGCTAAGGAAGGCCACGTACTTATGAGATGGCAGCCCCAAGTCCATGCAAGAGAGAGAGAGAGGTGTGTCCAAGTGGCTTTTGCCGGGAGTTTTTGGGTTTGCCAGTGACCTGAAGATCAGAATCCGCACCGGATGGCTCCACTGGGCTGCCCGTCTTCCTTAGGGAGTGTGAGGTTCCCGCACGACCTTAGCAATGTGGCTTCGGATTGAGGAGGTGTTTCTATAGGGCCATGTGTGATCTTCAGCTGATTTCTGAACTCTTTCTCCGATAGACCTCGATGGACCGCTGGACTCTCAAGGCTTCTGCGCTACGGAAGGCCGCGTCGTCTTCTACCAGCCAGGCGGTGAGAAGCACATCGACTTCTGGGGGGTTCAGAGTGATGACACAACGGCGCCCTCAGGGAGGAATCGTTTTTTTGATGTTGGATGATTTGGGGATCCACGACTCAGGCACCTGACTCTTTGGGGATCTTGCCCTTTCTTCTCAGGCCACGCAGACTTTAAGAGTGTCCAGGAGTTGCCATAACGGTAATTATGGTGATTTCTGTGACCCCTTGGGGCTTGTTTTCGCTCAACGTATGCTCCAAGCTCATCCCGAAGATATTCGAAACGGAGGTCCGGGGGTTGAAGCCCTAAGCTAGCTGTTCCTTGAGAGGGAGCCCAGGAGCCGGGGTATCCATATTCCGCATTAAACAGGGGGCCAAGGAGCTACAGGGAGTTCCCCAACCTGTTGCTAGTAATTCACAAGTTGCACGTATTTATGCACGTTTCATCATCAAAATGAGAGGCAGGAAACAGGAGGGTAATTGTCGATGGGATTGTTTGGGTTCTGCTTGACCTATGAATGCCCATGGCCTGGTGTTAGAGTGGTGATGTGCGTGCACATGACCCCGCAGACCAGCCCTTTCGTCAGTGTCTCATCTGCCAGGAAAAGAAGGATGAGAAGAAGGAGAAGTCAAAGGACGATGAGGACGACTACGAGTACGAGGATGACGATGATGAAGTAGGGACTTACTGAACCCTTCGCGGTCCATCTCACCATCCTCCGTGGACGACGCGCTGGAGCGAGACGCCGAGAGACGCGTCGCGTCATCGTCAAAGAGATGCGAAGGTCGAGGGTCGCGGTCCTAACAGTTCAGTAAGTGGATTCACAGTTGCACTTAATGCAGGCTCTTGATTCATAAAGCCCCGGCTGTGTGATTGTAAAGCCGGGGGCTTGTATCAATCAAGAGCCTAAGCCTACGTCAGCCTTATAATAGGGGGGTCAGCGGCTACCTTGGAGCCTGTGAGCCTGCTACATGTGGGTCAAAACCCGCAACATGTGGTTTCCCCCCACGGAACATGAACAAAATAGACAGACCACTGTCATCCGACCTCTCCCATCCGGTGGGTAGGTTGCCAGGGTGATGTTTGCAACCCGGGTGCCATTGACCCACAGAGGTCAACAGACGGACCAACCCGCGAAACCCGACTGGCATGGGGAGATGTGGTACTGGGATACCTTGGTTTAGGGCGTGGCCCAAACCAAGCAGTAACAGTCGGTAGAAGATGATCACGATTTTTGAATGTGACTGGACATATGGGATATACCCAACCTTGATTGACCTACCTGGGAGCTATATGGGGGAATGGTTGGGCTCCAGGTTTTGACTAGAGCGTTGGGCGAAAAGGGGCTGAAACGGGTGGGCAGAGGCATGGCCACTGTCGACAGGGTTACCCTGTGCCTTTGTCGGGATCCAAGCACTTTCTCGAAGGGTTTGTACCGCCAGGCGGGGCCAATGCGAGATCCTATGATGCTTCATCGTTCACTTTTCGTTTCCAGCACCCAGCTTGATCCAGGGTTCCCACCCGCTGAGCAGTTGAATTATCGGCGATCGGTGAGGTCACTCAAGCTTCCGAGTACCTAATGTAGAATTTTGATGATTAAAGCCCGCCATATATGAAGAGGCCTTACAGTTTTTACAATCCGAATGGGGGTATTATTAATCAAGAGCTTACATTACTATAGGTGTTTAACATCGTTGCGCCATCTGCTTTTCACCAAGAATCATTCACTAACCACCGAGTAGATAGAACAGTGAACCTCTGGTCTCGAAGGCAACCGGTCTCAAAGACGGCGATGTTGCCTTCTAGCATATATAGGGCCTGTCCCATGACCTGTAATAATCGGAGAAACAAGTATCACTATTTTTCAACAAGGCCTTTGTTCTATCTTCTGGTTAGAGCAGACAGGTGCCACCGCAACACTTGGCTCAGTCAGTAGATCGTGGGCGTTGATGTTGCCACTGAGGACAACTTAGAAAGACATTGCAGTGCCAGAGGTGTATACTGGCAACCCAGGTACAAACTTTTCGCGCATACCCAGTCGTACCTCATACCTATAGGTTTTTACGTCTTGTGCATTCCTAGGTCTCCAGATGTTTCCATCAACATAGTGGAGAGCTTCCCATTGATCCGTTGTATCAGATGAGCTTGAGGCATGAGACGACCTGAGACTGACCGCACAGTCCGGACCGCGAAATTGAACGGACAGATGTGAAAGCAATGCGAAGGATACATAGAAAAGGGGACCCTATTAATTACAGTATTGTCGTTTTACCCATCAAGAGAGAGAGAGAGAGCATGAACTGTAGGAGACTCCATCAATCCAAAAGAATCTTCCAGAGTCCCTTCGCCGTCTTTTGCGCCAAAAAAAACGCGCCATGGCGATGGAAGCCGCCAGCCACACCGCCTGCCGGGCCAGAAGGATCCTCGTTGGGGTCGCTCGGCAGCGGTCCGATGGATCGGCAGGCGGTCCGATGGATCGCTGTTGAGCGCAACGCTGGAGAAAGGTGAGGACGATGGTTTTTCTCCGCATGAAACCATCGCCTGTGAGTGAAGAAAGTAGCCAAGCTCTGTAAGCGCTTCCTTCTTTGGGGTGGAAAGACGCGTGCCAACCTGTCACTAACAGCACCCCCAACATTGCCGTGCTCGATCCCACATACACTATACACGGCCACTACTAGTAGTTTTAAAGCGTGAAATATCATGAACAAATTTCAGAGGATGCTCAGGAATGAGTCGCCGAGGGCCCTACTAATGGTTGCCAACTGGTGCCAACGACTTGGCTGGTCGAGCTTTGCCCACTGGCATAGGATCATCAGTACGACGCTCAGCCGGAAGAAACCACCAGGTTGCCCTGGTCCTTCAGTAGCATAGACCAAAGTAGTATATGACCTACAGTATAGATTGCACATATATATATCTAGACCCACGAAATCGATAGAAGTTGGTATATAGATTTTGCACGTACAACATGTAGACATGACGGCTACTATTTGGGGACCGACCTACGGTATAGAACCAGTAGGCCCACTTCTTCCGGTCTTCGGTCGACGTCTCTAGGCGAAGTCCAGGCAGAAGGACTGTGGGACCGTGCAGCGTTGATGAAGGATGTGTCCAAAGCACGCCAATTCTCCCAACTAATTCTCCCACTGAATTACTTGGGTTCATGTGTTTTGCCAACCTGTTTCTTCGCTTCGATTCTTCCGAACTCGGGTCCGCTCGCTTGAAAAAGGGGACCTGCCCGGACCTGCGTGGTACACTTGTTCTTCGGACCCTGACGCCGGGCCCGGCAGATCGAAGGGTCGAAGGGTCGAAGGGATTGACGAGCGGACCCATCCTCCAGCGGCAGGAGAGTTGGGATGAGCTGTTTCAGGCTGCGGACAAGGAGCGATGGATGGTACAGTCATGTAGTGGAGTAAGATCAGGTGATGAAAGCGCATGGCATCAAGCAACAACATTTTGCAGGTGGCCTTTTCGAGCGGATAGACATTTCATATCATTTCACCACCTCCAAGTTTGGCATTTCACAACCTCGTCCAGAAGCGATCTGAGGATAGGTCGAGGATGCTTGATTTGAAAGAATTGAAGATTGTGACTTAGCTGAAGCTGCCAGCATTTTCAGGGGTGCCGGATTCAGATATTAAGCTCGAAGCTGTGCGACATGTACTTTTGCCTCATGTCGACACCTACACAGCCAACACCTCTCGGCTCGCACTGGCATCCTATAATACCCCGCCCACCTCCGGTGTCGCTGAGCCATCAGTTCCTGGTCCAGACAGTTTAAGGTTTGCAATACCCTAGGGCTCCAACCACCTGAGAAGGTGGTTGGGGTGGGTGCCAGGGGGGTTTAACCACCTTCTGAGGATATGGTTGGAGCCCTAGGGATAGAGAGTTCTGGAAGTTTTGGACATCGTGCCCTAGATGGGAAGTGGATCCATTAAGGACCCCAATTTCCATTTGAAAGTGGGGTCTTATATCTAGTCGGTCTTGGCTCTCCGCCACAAGAAGCCCACGAGCCACACCCTGAAGCACATCTCAATTAACATATACCACAGAAGCTCACCGGGGGCGGGGGTGACCCACCACCCCTCGAGGGCCCTTCGTTCGGCTCGGCTCAGGTGATCAGGGAGAAGCTGCACATCCCCGAATCCGCGTGACCGGTCGTCGGTTTGCTGGTGCGGGTTGTCACGGGTGGTCGCGGTTTTTTTTCGCATTGCATTTTGCGTTCCTTTGTGGTGCTGTTTTTTTTGGGGGGGCGGTGCTGTTTCCAACAGGACCCGGATTCCAAACTAATAGTATTCATGGTTCTTATCGAACAACCGTTGTTTGACTAAAGACTCTACCAGGTCTCAGGTCTCCCCATTTTTTCAGGGTTTTGGAAGGCCAGGGCGTCCTGTTTCAGCAAGAAGAAAGTCCATATAGTGTGTGTGACGTAGAAAGAGCCACTGAGCGGCGATTCGTTGAACTCCCTCTCCCTGGGAACAGGAAGCACAAACACACTTTCCTTGGAGTCGGAGCTCTCCCTGCCTTCATTCGGAACTGTTAAACGGCTGAACAGCCCATTTGGAGATGGTGGCACTATATAACTATTTGGGTCGAAGGTGTTGACATATTTATAGCCAAACCAGATTCACTCACCAACCAAAACAGAGGTGAGTTCATGCTGCTAATTATGCCGCGTTTGATACATATATATATATTATAATATATATATATATCTAGTCTGTTCCAGCCGATGACGTGCGCCACTTTGAGGGTTTGGTTTACTATTGCCCTTTGGAGCCAGCAAGCCTGCCCCTGTAGCACGTTCAAGCTCCCTGGAAACCCCTGGAAGACCAATTCCCTTTTGTCTCCGACCGTATTGCTCCCTTCAGGTGGTTTTTCGTTTCTCTATTTGTGGGTCCCCTTCTGGGGAGTATTTGTTAGGTTTTTACCGGTTCTCTGAGCAATTCCAGGCTAAACACTTGGACACCTTGAATGGAGCTGTGCAAACATCTCGTCGCATCCGGGTCCCTGAGGCTCACCGACTTTGAGATTCAGAGCATCCACGGAGAGATCGACCTGGACCAGATGCTCAACAGCAACCCCCCAGCATAAGCTTCCTCAGACCTCATCAAAGTGGAGAAACTTCCTCATCAACAGACTTCCTCAGATCTCCTTGGGACCTCAGACCTCCTCAGTTACATTTGACCATTGTCTTCTACAATGGGTCTGCTCGTCTGTACAAGATTGTGCAAGCATTTTTGAGGGAGGGTAGAGAAATTTTCTGCAGGGTGTATCAGATATGAAACACGTCCTGCTTGGGTTTGAGATTGGGGGCGTCCAGCATGGGTTGCACCTTTCCAGGAGGATCCTGTTCGTAAGCACATTTCTTGCCAGTTCTGCAGCAGAGATGTGCCCCCTGGTGGGTTCCCTTATATGCTTGATGGAGCGGAAGGGGGTCAATGGCATGGGGCTGACATGGGCTGACAAGATACTTTACCCCAATTGATTCATACAAACCTTCTTAGTTTCTCTTTTTTAGGCAAGAGCCAGGTCGTCCTGCGGCATCAAGCGCGATGGAAGTCTACCGGTGTCGCAGTTGGTGCTCAGGTGTTGGACGTTCATTGTCGTCCGAAATCGGGTCCCTGCCATCCACGTTGGCCCCATGTCTTGGTCGCAGGGTCGCAGGGTATCTACCTCAAACTCCCAAGGCATCGACCCCTAGATTGCTGAGTTGTGAAGTGTTAGTCCCTAAGCATCTAAGCAGGTGATGACCATTCCACTTCTAAGCCCTACCTGTCTTATTCGGCCACTGGCGAGGGAGCCTTCTCGCGAGGGGTTGGAGCCCCATGATGCATGACGGATGAGGGCCTTGCAGACATGAAACTAAAAAGGGATCCGAATGAGAGGAGGGAACATGGCTTGCTGTCGGCGAGGTTGCAGTTGCA